TAGATACTTGTGAACAGTACTTGCTCCAAACATCTGTTCAGGCTATACGGGGGACCTTTGTCTTTGTACACTCGCCTGTACGTGGACCTGTCTGCACACCTCTCTGTGTATGGAGGGTGGCTATGCACGTGGCCTGTCACCGAGCACGGGATGCAGCAGCCAGGGTTGGTGGATCACACGCAGATGCTGTGGAACTCCCTCTCTAACAGTGGGCGTTGAGGAGGAGCCGTACCCTGACTCGCCAGGAGAAGGCAGTACAGGAAGTGGACTAATCGCCATTCTGTTTATTCCGTCTGCACGGGGATAGAGCGTTGCCCCCTCGCGCAAGGTGTGGGGTTTCCTCCACCCAAGTGAATAATAAACGAACACGACTCATCATCGTCCATGTAAGAATTTATTTTACCTTTTCTGGCAATGAAACAGGAGGTGTTAAGATGTCTTTGTTTGCATGTTCACCACTAGCACTGCGTGTGGTTAATGTTTGCATGTTCACCACTAGCACTGCGTGTGGTTAATGTTTGCACGTTCACCACTAGCACTGCGTGTGGTTAATGTTTGTATGTTCACCACTAGTACTGCGTGTGGTTAATGTTTGTATGTTCACCACTAGTACTGCGTGTGGTTAATGTTTGCATGTTCACCACTAGTACTGCGTGTGGTTAATGTTTGGATGTTCACCACTAGTACTGCGTGTGGTTAATGTTTGTATGTTCACCACTAGTACTGCGTGTGGTTAATGTTTGCGTGTTCACCACTAGCACTGCGTGTGGTTAATGTTTGTATGTTCACCACTAGTACTGCGTGTGGTTAATGTTTGTATGTTCACCACTACTACTGCGTGTGGTTAATGTTTGTATGTTCACCACTAGTACTGCGTGTGGTTAATGTTTGTATGTTCACCACAAGCACTGCGTGTGGTTAATGTTTGTATGTTCACCACTAGTACTGCGTGTGGTTAATGTTTGCGTGTTCACCACAAGTACTGCGTGTGGTTAATGTTTGTATGTTCACCACTAGTACTGCGTGTGGTTAATGTTTGTATGTTCACCACAAGCACTGCGTGTGGTTAATGTTTGTATGTTCACCACTAGCACTGCATGTGGTTAATGTTTGCGTGTTCACCACAAGTACTGCGTGTGGTTAATGTTTGTATGTTCACCACTAGCACTGCGTGTGGTTAATGTTTCTATGTTCACCACTAGCACTGCGTGTGGTTAATGTTTGCACGTTCACCACTAATACTGCGTGTAGTTAATGCAGACACGATTCCTTCCAAAATGTTTCTGTTTGGTGTTTTAACATCTTAACTCCCCCCATTTTATTGCCAGAAAGGGTAAAACCAATTCTGATATTTTGATATTGGCAAGAGAGGTTCCATGATGTCATCATGGTTCATCGGCTGAAAACATAAAACAAATAAAAACCCATCTTGGTATGAGTAAGCATCATGAACTGAAATTAAAAAAACTATCTTTATCGTAGCAGCTGAGGCCCACTGAACTATGTGGCTCTTCGTCAGAAGCCACCTGGCCATCACAAATGATAGCTCAACGAAGTGGCTTATCACGTGGAAATGTATAGCAGCAGCCAAATACTCTAAACGCGTGGTGATGCTGATTCTAAATGTGGAGGACCTGGAGAAAAATCCACGTGACTACGGGGAGAGAGACACGCAAACTCCAAATGTACAGCAGCAGGCGCCAGGGTCGAGATCGAACCCACGACCTCCTGTATGCCAGGCAAAGTAGTTAACATCTCACCGCCAAAGTATTATTTAATAATTACACTATGTAACACCATTTTTGTTCCTGGGTACTGAGTTCTTTATTTTTAATTGCTTATGCCTAAAAAGTGTATCAAATGGCTATTATTCCCCACAAACTTCGCCTTTGTGACCAGGGCTTTATGTGAACGAAAGACACAAATGCACACCACGTTTTCTCATTTAAAATAGGTACATTTAAAAATCACTGTCCTGGTCACAAAAGAAAAGTTTATGGGGAGTAATATCAATTTTCTGTACTTTTGAGGCATAAGCCATGAGGAAATGACACTGACTACCCAGGAACACTTTTTTTTGTTACACTGTGTTATTATTATCATCATTAGAGAGGGAGATTGAGATGAAGGAAGATAGGAAGATGTGGATGGAGGGAGGGGGTGGAGAGACGGGTGATTAATCCCTCGCGTTACTCTGTGGAGCCAATTAGCCCGCGTGGGTGAAAGGCGGGGGTGGAGGGGAGGGGGGACAAGGCGCGTGCCCTCGCACTCATTAACGCCTCTCCGTGCAGCCGCGACACATTCCGTGGCAACACGTGGGGTAGACAGGGAGACAGAGAGACACGTGGGGTAGACAGGGAGACAGAGACACGTGGAGACGGTGACACAGAGACACGTGGAGACAGGGAGACAGAGAGACACGTGGGGTAGACAGGGAGACAGAGAGACACGTGGGGTAGACAGGGAGACAGAGAGACACGTGGGGTAGACAGGGAGACAGAGACACGTGGAGACAGGGTGACACAGACACGTGGGGTAGACAGGGAGACAGAGAGACACGTGGGGGAGACAGGAAGACACAGAGACACGTGGAGACAGGGTGACACAGAGACACGTGGGGTAGACAGGGAGACACAGAGACACGTGGAGACAGGGTGACACAGAGACACGTAGGGTAGACAGGGAGACAGAGAGACACGTGGGGTAGACAGGGAGACAGAGAGACACGTGGGGTAGACAGGGAGACAGAGACACGTGGAGACAGGGTGACACAGACACGTGGGGTAGACAGGGAGACAGAGAGACACGTGGGGGAGACAGGAAGACACAGAGACACGTGGAGACAGGGTGACACAGAGACACGTGGGGTAGACAGGGAGACACAGAGACACGTGGAGACAGGGTGACACAGAGACACGTGGGGTAGACAGGGAGACACAGAGACACGTGGAGACAGGGTGACACAGAGACACGTGGGGTAGACAGGGAGACAGAGAGACAGGTGGGGTAGACAGGGAGACAGAGATACACGTGGGGTAGACAGGGAGACAGAGATACACGTGGGGTAGACAGGGAGACAGAGATACACGTGGGGTAGACAGGGAGACAGAGATACACGTGGGGTAGACAGGGAGACACAGAGACACGTGGAGACAGGGTGACACAGATACACGTGGGGTAGACAGGGAGACAGAGAGACACGTGGGGGAGACAGGGAGACAGAGACACGTGGAGACAGGGTGACACAGAGACACGTGGGGAGACAGGGAGACACAGAGATACGTGGAGACAGGGTGACACAGAGACACGTGGGGTAGACAGGGAGACACAGAGACACGTGGAGACAGGGTGACACAGAGACACGTGGGGTAGACAGGGAGACAGAGAGACAGGTGGGGTAGACAGGGAGACAGAGATACACGTGGGGTAGACAGGGAGACAGAGATACACGTGGGGTAGACAGGGAGACAGAGATACACGTGGGGTAGACAGGGAGACAGAGATACACGTGGGGTAGACAGGGAGACACAGAGACACGTGGAGACAGGGTGACACAGATACACGTGGGGTAGACAGGGAGACAGAGAGACACGTGGGGGAGACAGGGAGACAGAGACACGTGGAGACAGGGTGACACAGAGACACGTGGGGAGACAGGGAGACACAGAGATACGTGGAGACAGGGTGACACAGAGACACGTGGGGTAGACAGGGAGACACAGAGACACGTGGAGACAGGGTGACACAGAGACACGTGGAAAGTTCTGAAGTGATCGTCGTCTTGTGACACCATAGCACGCTGTCAGGCGGATGGTGGTGGTGGCTGTGCTGCACGTGGCTGCCTGTAGTCCAGCACTGCGGAGACAGCAGTGGGGGTTGGTGGATCACCACACAGATGGGGTGAAACTCCTTTCCGGTGGGTGTCGAGAATGAGGTGCCATACCCTGGCTCGCCAGCAGAAAGCAGTACAGCAAGTGGACTAATCGCCATCTGTTTATTCCATCTGCACTGGGATAGAGTGTTGCGCCTTCGCGAAATACGTGGGGGCAGGGTTGGGGTCGAACCCATGAGCTCCTATTATATCAGGCGAGGGAGATAACATCTCGCTGCCTGCTAGGAGCTCACGACTATTTCTGCACTGTATACTTACTGGTGTGTGTGTACACCTATGTACTTACCGGTGTGTATGTGTGTGTGTACACCTATGCACTTACCTGTGTGTGTGTACACCTATGTACTTACCTGTGTGTGTGTACTCCTATGTACTTACCGGTGTGTGTGTGTGTGTACACCTATGCACTTACCTGTGTGTATACACCTATGCACTTACCTGTGTGGGTGTGTACACTTACCTGTGTGGGTGTGTACACCTATGCACTTAACTGTGTGTACCTGTCTGTGTACAAAAAAACCTCCTACCTCCTCGTTGGTGCTGGACGGTAACGTTGTGGTGAGCAGTGCTATGGGGGGAGGGCCAATTTAGATTCACCATTCCCCTCATGGCGTTTGTAACCACCACAGCGGCCAAACAGGGCGCTGGGCGGGTGCGAGGGGCCGGTAATCCCATCCACCTTCAATTAGTTACGACTAAACCACGAAAAAAATCCAACTAAGCTTGTGCCGGAGGACAGGTGTCTATGACGTCTTCTGACCAAACCCCATTTGGCAGAGCCAGGAGCTTGAATCCTTACCCTCAGGGTTCCTCCAGAAACAGCAAAAAGCTACTGCAGGTGGCCACGTGGAATGTTCGAACGCTCACTGCAGAGATGAAGCTGCCACTCCTGTCGGGAGCTGGACCAGTACAGCCTGTATCTGTGGTATTCAGGAGGTCCAGTGGACCGGCTCTGGCTCCTGCCACCATAAGGGGTGGACAGTCCTCTACTCGGGGCAGGAGACTTCCAAACAACAGGGTGTGGCACTTCTTCTGAACAAAATAATTAAGGGGGCGTGGAAGCGTGGTGGTGAAGCGTGGAAAGCTGTAAGCCCAGGCTACTTTGGGCTCGCCTTCCCATCAACCAGAGGTGAGGAGTGGTGGTTATGATTACTTATGCCCCCACCAAAGATGAACATCAGTGGAGGTATGCAGGCAAGGCCGATAAGTCAGATGCCTTCTATGACCTCCTGTCAGAGGTGCTAGCTAAAGTGGCCCCTCGGGATAGAGTCATCATGTTGGGTGACTTCATGCCCGAGTTGGTCATGGTGCTGGCACCTGGTCTGGAGTAATTGGAAGGCATGGGCCAGATCAGCTCAATATCAACGGTAGGAGGCTGCTAGACTTTCCTGCAGCCCATGGGCTTGTAATTACCAACAGGCTGTTCCAGCATCGGCACATCCACATAACATCATGGATGCATGCCGGGTCCAAGCAAGAACATCTGCTGGACTATATAGTGACAGAACAGCGGATACAGGCCCATGTCCTTGACACCAGGACCTACCGTGGAGCTGATCTGCCCACTGACTATCGACTTGTCATCTGTAAGATGCGCCTGCCATATTTCCACTCCGGTGGTGGGTGTACACCCAGGACCCCATTCAAACCCATAGTGGCTTGGTCTCAGCTAGCTGATGAACGTTGCAAGTGAGAATTTCATCATCGCTTGCGGCTGGAATCTGCCTCAGTGGCCCGCAATCACACATCACTGTTTAATTCCATAAAAAAGTAACTTGCAGCACCACACTTATCACCATCATTAGGGGAAAGAACAGTGATCTAATCTCCGACCCCCAGGAACAGGTTTGCAGATTTCCTCAGCATTTATGGGAGGTCTTGGGGGAGGGAAAATCCCTCAGCCTGGAAAACATCACGGGGCGAAGTGGGGTTGACCCTGCTGAGGCTGTGGTGCCTCAAATATGGGAAGAAGTATTCACCCCCTGTGAGTGGCTGGCTGAGGTGCCATCTGTTAAGGAAGTACTGAAGGCCGTTGGTGCCCTACATGCCATCATAATAACAGTCTGGACCACTAAACGAGTTCCGCAGGATTGGAAGGATGCCCTGGTGGTCCTCCTCTTTAAGAAGGGGGACCGCACAGACTGTAACAACTACAGGGGCATCTCACTCCTAAGTGTGCCGGGAAAGATCCTGGCAAGGGTTATTCAACATCGCCTTGCCAGGCGCGCTGAGGAGAGGCTCGCAGAGCCCCAGTGTAATTTCAGGAAAGGGCGGTCCTGCACAGATGCCAAATTTTCTGTCCGTCTGCTACAGCAGAGATGTAGGGAATTTCAACATGACTTACATCTCTGCTTTATTGAGCTGGTCAAGGCCTAAGATGCCATCAATAAGCCTGGGCTCTGAGTTGTTCTTCGTGCTTTCAGAGTCCCTGACTCTCTGCTCATAATTATTAAGGACCTTCATGATGGTGAGCAGACCTGAGTAAAACTACGTGGCCGAGAGTCGGAGCCATTCCCTGTTCACCTTGGGGTGCGACAGATGTCCTCTGGCTCTCAGATTATTTAAAATCTATTTCGACCACGTAGTTTGTGAAGCTTTTGATGGCTGTACCGGAGGGGTGCAGTCAAGGGTTGGCTCCCTTTTGGTCAATGATGTTACATATGTTGATGATCTGAAATGGCTGCTCACTCAGAGGAGTTGGAGGCACTGCCACTTAATCTGGAGCACGCGACTAAGAGGTGGGGCCTTACCATCTCAGCCCCACCAAAACTAAGCACCTGCCTGGGTATATTGTACCATCGGACACTCCACCACCACAACTCCCAATTGGTGATGGGGCAGTTGTGGAGAGAGTGGAGAGTTTCCCATGCCTGGGCAGTGTGCTTATGACCGACTACCGGTTTGACAGCAGATGTCTTACTCTGAATCGAGCGAAAATATATTTTCATCGGTTGCATAACGCTGTGTGAAAGCTACCTGGTCTGTCGCGCCATACGAAGCTTAAGGTCTTCTCGGCCACACTCATTCCCTCCCTTCTCTACGCTTGCGAAACGTGGAACCCCCTAATGGAACATCTTCGCTGATTAGAAACATTTAGGCTGGCCTGCCTATGATCTATCCTGGGTTTAACCAGGCTGGATTGTGTGAGGGGCTACTTAAGAGATCTGGGCAAGGTCCCATCGGTGAGCTCCTCCGGCAGGCAAGGCTGCGTTGGCTGGGTCATGTAGTTTGCATGCCCAGCCAACGTGTGCCTAAACAGCTTTTGTTCGGCCAGATAGAGGGGGCTAAACGGGCGCGACACGGGCTAGAGAAGAGATGGAGTGATGTTGTACAGAAGGATGTGGAGCTGAGTGGCAGATGACCGATACCAGCGGTGTCAAGATCGGCCTCTGTGGAGGACGCTCTGGGCAGTTGGAGGCAGTCGCCCTCCAACAACAACGAGCGGAGCGCCGGGTGGCTAAAGCACAGCAGGTTGGCACAGTAGGGGGCACAGGTGGTGCACCAGCCAGTCATCTCAGTCAGTCGACCCGTGGCACCTGGGTCTGCCCCGTGACCTCCTGCCCGCGGGCGTTCAACACTTAACGTGGCCTCAACGTGTGCATAGCCTGGTACAAGCGTCGTGGTGACGTCACCGCCACTTAGTGGCGAATGGCAATTGTTGTTGTGTACTTATCTTTGTACACCCCCACCCCTCCCCCTGCATCTGGAAGATCTTCCACATGACGTACGACCTGGCGAGCGCCGTGATGCGGATCTTCAACCTGATCGGGATGATGCTGCTCCTGTGCCACTGGGACGGCTGTCTGCAGTTCCTCGTGCCCATGCTGCAGGACTTCCCAAAGGACTGCTGGGTGGCGCTCAACGGCATGCAGGTGCGTGCGTGTGTGTGTGCAGGTGTGTGTATGTATTTGCAGGTGCGTGTGTGTATGTATTTGCAGGTGCGTGTGTGTGTGTGCAGGTGTGTGTATGTATTTGCAGGTGCGTGTGTGTATGTATTTGCAGGTGCGTGTGTGTGTGCAGGTGTGTGTATGTATTTGCAGGTGCGTGTGTGTGTGTGCAGGTGTGCGTATGTATTTGCAGGTGCGTGTGTGTGTGTGTGCAGGTGTGTGTATCTATTTGCAGGTGCGTGTGTGTGCGTGGGGAGCGCTAACAGCACTTGCCCCAACAGTTTGTTAATGCCATACGGGGGATCTTTGTCTTTGGAGTGGTAGTGTAGCGGTTAGCGCGCTGCTCTACAAACCCGGCGACCCGGGTTCGATTCCCTCTTACAGCCAACACCAGTGACGATTATCTGAACTGGTCATGGGCCTCCCCGAGGTCGACTCCGCCTCAAATGAGTACCTGGTGCGGTGTGTAAACATCGCCACTAGGGGAGACAAAGGCGGCCGGGCGTGGTTGTTGGCCACCCATCCCCTCGTGTGCCACAGTGCCGGTAGCCTTCATAGGCGCTAACGCTAACAGCACTTGCCCCAACAGTCTGTTATGGCTACACAGGGAATCTTTGTTTTTTTGTTCGTAACTCTGTGTGCCTGTATCCGTGTGTTAAGTGCTTTGAGTAACACACAAATAGGCAGGGCGAGTTCATTACGATCGTTAATTATTCATCACCGCTGTTGTTGCTGCTCGGAAGAAATGGAGGCGCGTTGTTGGCAAGCGGTCGAGGCCGGAGATTCATGGACATTCGCTTTTCCATCGACTCACTTTGGCTCAGACTGCAAAGGGCAAGGCACCGAGGCTGCACGTGTTCACCCAGGAAAACGTCGAGACTCGTTTCACCGGACATCGGTGAAAAAGAGCTTTATAGCTCATCGGATTCCTCTATTATGAATCAAGATTCAGATTCTGTTTTCAAGCGGGTCCTGCTACTTTGGGACGTTTTTTTTTTGTTGGCTATGAGAGCGATCCTGAGAAGCCCAGAGAGCACCAATGCAGGACAGGAGGGAGAATAGAGATAAAGATCCCCCGTGTAGCCTTAACAGACTGATGGGGCAAGTGCTGTTAGCGAGCAACACCTATGAAGGCCGGTACGGCACACGAGGGAGTGGGTGTCCAGCACCACGCCCGACCGCCTTTGTCTCCCTAGTGGCGATGTTTACTACACACCGCACCAGGTACTCATTTGAGGCTCAGTCGACCTAGGGGAGACTCAGGACACACACACTCTCTCACACAGTCACCACGTTCACTCACATTCGATTATGCTAATCGTATGGAGTTTTCATTTTTTTGTATACATAAGTCTTAATTTTTCTAAACTTTACTGTTCACTATACTAGACTTTTTGGAGTCGGGAGTTGGAGATATTTTTTTGTAAATTAGGAGAATAAAAAGCCAGTCTGCGTGATAAGTTGCCACGTATTTGTCTGCGTATGGTCAAGACGTGTAAATGGCGGTCACTGGGAAAGATTTTGAGATGAGCAGCAAATTAGAAGCATAAATCATAACAATAGAGTTGATCATTAATTTACGTTGGGTTCGAGCTTCAAGGTACGATGTCTGCACGACGATCACCCACACCAAGTATCAACCATAACATCAGTAGTATTTACCAGGGGGGCCGCTGTCAGTCGTAGTATTATAACGGTGAATACAACCGCAATATTTACCAGGGCGGCCGCTGTTAGTCGTAGTATTATAACGGTGAATACAACCGCAGTATTTACCAGGGCGGCCGCTGGAACGTTAAACCGCTGAACCTCCGCGACAACGGAGGCAGCCGAAGGCTCCGCCGCTGGGACCCGCGTTGCCGGATTGACGCCAGGGCTGGGGTGAGGGCCGCACACTGCTGCACTCCCTGGCAGGTGGCGGCTACAGCCGTCACCGTGGTGCTAATTTGCGTTCATGCGTCAGGGGCCGTGGGGCCGTGGGGCCGGAGGGGGGGGGTAAGACAACAAAAATAACAACCAAACAAACAGACGCGAATATAAACACGATTCTCTGAAACCCACGTTTTAGCGTCAAAGCCAAGCAGGGTGCAGGCCACTAAACTTACCCAACCAAGTCGCAATTCCACATTCCCACGGTTGGAAGGGTCGGGGGGGTGCAGGGGGCCAGTCCATCCACAAAGTGGTACAGTCGTCGATTTAATCTCCCTCAAAGGATGATGAAATGTACTGCGGTACAATATGAGTTTATGTAGCAGCATCTAACTCAATGTGACTGCGTTGCAAGACGCCATACAAACGCGCTGGCTGCCTGTATTTTATAGAAAGAGGCAGTAGGGTCTGTGTGTCTCTGTGTGGGTATATGAGTTTCTATGGGAGTCTGTGGGTCTCTGTGTGAGTCTATGGGTCTCTGTGTGAAGTTTTGTCTCGATGTAAGTCTATGGGAGACATAACACTATGTAACACAATGTTTGTTCCTAGGTAGTAAGCTTTATTTCGTAATTGCTTATGTCTAAAAAGTATAGAATGGCTATTATTCCCCAGAAACTTTGCTTTTGTGACCAGGACAGTCATATTTTCAAATTGACCTATTTTCAATTAGAAAACGGGAGAATTTCGCGTCTTTTCGTTCACATAAAGTCAGAAAAAAACAACATATGGATCAAAATTAGCATGCATTTATACTAAAGTAATAAAAAAATTACTTCAAAAGATTTAGAAGTGAGCAGTTTTTCGAGATTTACGATTATACTGTAAATCACTTTCTCAGCCCCCAAATGTAGTCTCCTATCATGTTCTCGTTATACTGTCCTTGGTAGCGGCGTTCAAAGTCCAGTGTATCCTGGTAGAAGCGCTCGCCTTGCTCCTCCAAGTACGCTCCCATGAATTTATAAAGATGAGCATCAAGGATATGGACTTTGAGGGACATCCTACAGCCCATTGTGCCGTAGTTCTTCATCACAGTCTCAACCAGCTCCACGTAGTTTTCGACCTTGTGATTACCCAGGAAGCCACGAACCACTGCGACAAAGTTACAAGCCACTTTCTACTTACTAGTGAGCTTCTTGGGGAATTAATTGCACTCCAGGATCTTCTTTAACTGTGGTCCGACGAAGACAACGGCTTTGACCTTTGCCTCAGACAGCTTAGGGAAGAAGTTTTGAAGGCTGCCGACTCCTTATCTACAGCTCTGACATTTGGCTCTCTTTTCTCCTCTGTACCATCCTACAAAAATAGAGATTCTCGCAACATTTTTCGTACATGATATATCTTTTCAATAACATTTTAAAGTTGCTTCCACAGAGTACTTTTTCGCTCTTGTCTTGACAAATTGGCCGCAGACAGCAAAATGCGTCTACCGGATGCTTGCAGCCTCTCGATGCCATTTCAGAAAAATGCAGATATCTATCCACTTAGGCAGCTGGAACTAAACTGAACTGGTGGGCTTAAGGCACCTGTATTTATATTACTATTTATATTACTGGAAAGTTTTAGAATGTTCTAGAAGTTACTCCAAGTTTACTCAGCACCGAATCTATCTGGAATGTTCTGGAAATAGGTACATTTCAAAATATCACTGTCCTGGTCACAAAGGCAAAGTTTGTGGGGAATAATAGCCATCTCTGTACCTTTGAGGAATAAGCAATTAGAAAATAACACTTACTACCCAGGAACAAAAAAAATGTTACACAGTGTAATCAGTCAGGCAGATAAGAGGAAGGTCTCGAGCCTGGACCTGAGCATGGACATGGAGTCGACAGCACTGGTGGCCAGGGGAAGAAAATTCCAGACCCTAAGGGGTATGGGCAGCAGAGGAGAAGGAGCGACCTCCCACTGAGCGGAGGCTGCATTGGGGCAACAACCACGTGGCCTGAGAATTCACCCACAGTCATCTATGCTGGTTGTTTGGGTCTGGAGTTGAACTACAAACCTGTGAGTTGGTAGGCTGCTGGGGTTGTGTGGGGCTGGGCCCATGGAGGGGAAAAATGGGGGAGGTGGGGAGAAAGACGTCAATTATTAAGGAGGTCGCGTCTCTTCCATTAGTGGTGGGAGTTGAAGTAAAATGGTGAAACCGCAGCCTAATACAGTACACCACTCACAGCAGCCAGCTCATAACAACACATTCATAGCACGCCATTCATAGCAATCCATTGACTGCACATTATTCATCGCACGCCATTCACATCACATCATTCACAGCAGCCAGCTAATAGCACACCATTCACTGCACACCATTCATAGCACGCCGCTCAAAGCACGCCATTCATAGGACACTATTGATAGCACGCCATTCACAGCAGCCAGCTCATAACATCCCATTCATAGCAATACATTCACAGCACACGATTCATAGCACGCCATTCATTGCACACTATTCGTAGCACAGCATTCATAGCATGCCATTGATAGCACCCCACGCTGCCATTAACAGCCCACCCGTAGCACAGCACACGGCTCATAACGCCACACCATCCATAGCACACTATACAAAATCAGACCATTCATCACATAGCACACACCCTTACACACCCCACCCATATCCTTCCCCATGACGCACACCACACTGCCACACAATGTGCCGTACATAAAACACACAGCACAGCACACTTCATAGCCAACAGCACTAATCGCACCTCCGTTTAGTGCGTTTGGCTATGTACGGTGCCAAAGAAGTTCAAGATACAAACATAGCACAGCGTGCAGTGTGTATCACACCCCCACAAGCTCATATCACTTAATCCACACGATACATACAATGCATTGTTACCCACACCACTCTCACCACACCACCCACCCCACACTCACCACTCCATTCACACCACTGCTCCCACAAGACTCCACGCGCACCACTCACACCATGCTGGCTACTCCACTGACACCACTCCACCCACACCACCCATCCCACACCACCCACTTCCACCACATTCACACGAGCTCTAGCGGTGCAGTGTTAAATCTTTTTATATACCTCGTGGTGTCGTTTTATATTTAGCAGCGCCGTCGTCGTTCATGCAAATTGCATCATTTTTTTTCACAATCCCCGAGGACCCACAGACGAGCGGGAAAGCAGCAGCCACGCGCTGAGCCAGCACCAAATTCCCCCAGGCTCTGCGGCTCTCTATATATAAAGGTGTTACCGACCGATCAATTACCTAACGTGTGGGACGATAAACGGAGCACGCGGAGTAACCCCACCACTCGACCCAAATTATCAAGCGTCATACCACGAGAGCCACCCCGCCAACCCACGAAGACAAAGATCCCCCGTGTAGCCTTAACAGACTGTTGAGGCGAGTGCCGTTGGAGACCAGCACCTGTGAATGCCGGCACGGCACACGGGAGGGTGGGTGGCCAACACCACGCCCGGCCGCCTTTGTCTCACCAGCGCACCAGGTAATCACTTAAACCCGAGTCGATATAGGGGAGGCCCAGGACCAATTCAAATCTTCACCACTGTTAATGGTCACGAGCAGAAATCGACCTCGAGCCGCCGGGACCATAGCCCAGTGCGCTAACCGCTGCGCCATCGCTCCCCACACGCCACCCGCACCACTTCATCCTCACGTCCATCGCACTGCCGTCTCTGTTAAGGTGCCATTCATTCCACAGCGAGTGAGTTGGACTCCCCAGTCCTTGCGTTGTGTGACGCTGTCCCGGAGACGCGTCCACGCTGTGTCACGGCTGACGCCCTGAGCCGTCAATAATTCACTCAGCCCGGAATCCCGCACGACCCACAGCGTGGGGAGAGGCAGAGTGGAGGCCGTCTGTCACGTTGCCTTTCCACGGAGGGCTGACGGCTGTGGTGTATTGCGTCGAATTGGTGTTAGACCACTCAGAGACCTGGCTGTTAGGGATGTCAGCTTTCATTTCTACACGAGCTGACACCAACCACCCCAAGCAGAGGAGTTATAGCCTGGTAGCAGGCTACCACAGAAAATCAAACGAATTAGAATAAGCAGAAAAGCACCCACACACGTCCAATCACACTTCGTGTTCCTAACGCCTTCCCGAGACTCACACAGAAGCTTCGGGGTGTAGGGGGGGGGCAGGGGGAGGGGGGTCATACGCCTCCCCTACTCTCCCACACGCAACTCTGCTTTACAGAGTGCCCCGTGTTCCTCCCCGGGGGTTTCCACCCCTCGCCTGCTAGCCCCTCACAGTGGGCAACTCGTGCCTCTAGCTGATCCCCTCTTCGAGCAGTGGGCGATGTCCACAGCCAAGCAGCCACCCAGGGAACCAGATGGCAACAGTCTCCACGCTTGGCCAGTGCCAGGCTGCTGCCGGCTTGGTGCTCTGCTCCTGCCACTCCTGTCATGCCCTTGCTCAGTCCCAGAAGTCCCACCTCTCCTGGTTCAATCCCCAGGTCGGCCGCTGGAAACAGATAACAATAATAATACTAATGTCACCTAACGTTTCCCTATAATATATATTCCGTGGAGTGGGAGACAGCCCTCAACTGCTACTTACAGTGAAGCTCTCCCGGTCCTCACTCACGTTGCTGCTTAAGAGTGGGAGCTCGCCCAGCCACTACTGGGGGGGTGGTGGCGGTGGTGGCGGTGGTGGCGGTGGTGGCAGTGGTGGCGGTGGAGAAATGCTGCCGCCGCCACCGCTGCTGCTTCTGCGTTGAGCTCCCACTGCCGATTCGGGTGCTCCTTTTATAGTGTTGCTCAGCCCATTGTTTAGCCCCTGGGCCAATCACGTGAGAGGTCCGACTATAAATGGTCTGTCTCCTTTCCCCTGGTTGGCTTGTTCCACTCAAAACCTGTCCCCACGTCGGTCTGACCACGCTGTGGTGGCTCCCGGCTCCACACAAAGGACTGCGCCCAAAAACACGAGCTTCTCTCTCCAGCTTAATGGGCGTGCCTCACGCACTACGCCACACCTTCATCCAGCAGTGGAGTCCATTCTTGTGTGGTGGTGGTGGCAGCAGCAGTGATGTTCAGGAGCTATCGACGTCAATGTCGAGGTCTGCCGCTGCCGGCCACGACGAGAAGGCTTCAGCAGAGAGAGACCACAGTGGGGTTCATGTGTGGTCCATGTTTTGGGTTGCATGGCCACAGTTACACGACCGTGGCTAGTGTCTTTAAATGTTCCGTTCATGGAGGAGATGTGTTGCCCATCGGCCTGTTGACGTTCTGGTGCAGTTGTTGATTGCACCAGTGGTGAGTCAGTGGGTGGGCGAGCGGGTGGATGAGTAGCTAAGTGAATGAGTGGGTGGGTGGATGGGTGGGCGGGCGAGTGACTTAGTGCATGAGATGGTTACGCCAGTGTCTTCGAAGAGGAGGAGGAATGTCAGAGCCAGGACGAGGTGGTGCGATAATGTGTGGGTCTGGAATGAGAGGAGGCGTTTCTTCCAGACGTCCACGTTGTTCCACTTTGTTCGCGAGCAGCAGTTGCTGCGTTCTTCGGGATGTGGGTGAGGTTCTAGGGTGGGACACGGTAGCCTCCTCCTCACGGTGCTTCCTCCCCCCTCTGGCGTTGTCTCGCTAGATGAAGACGCTTCCTTTTGTTTAAAACTCTCGCGGTGAGCAGTGCACCACCCTGTGTCAAAGGACTCTGCACGGTGTGGGTGGTGAGGTCCCTTTGGCCGCCTCTTGTCCACACGGGCTGGCGCTGTAGAGGCGTTTGTCGCATGGCAGGGAAACCATTCTTTATATTCATGATCAAGAATATTATTTCATATTATTATTATGATTGTACGGTGGCATTAACCACTTGGTGATGCTGTTACTGTTGCCGCGTTGGCAGCGGGTGCACACAAGCACAGGCAACAACAACACAACAACACAACAACATCAACACATTCGTCAACAACAACACTGTGAGCGGCCTTAACATGAACACCTATATACATATATATTAGGCGACGTTTCGGGCAATGGCCTATTTTGAATCGACGTGCGTTTAGAGTACTCACATTATTTTGCTGCTATACATTTCCACGTAATAAGCCACTTCGCTGAGCTATCATTTGTGATAGCCAGACAATAGCTCAGTGGGCCTTAACTGGTAGGATAAAAAATATATATTTTAGTTTTATTTGTATATTTATTTAAAGTGGTTTGTTTACCCTTCCTATACTTTGCACTCATATCGTGTTTGTGTAATGTTTGTTGTTTGTAGCGTTCTGACCCGCCCCTACTGGACATCTGTGAAAAAGAGCTTTATAGCTCATCGGATTCCTCCATTATGAATAAAGACTCTGATTGTGTATATTTTCAAAGGTGGGTTCAGCTGAATGCAGTGACAAACTCAGTGTGATCTTTTGTTTATGCGCTTTTGTGTGTGTGTGTCTTCTGTGTCTATCTCGGTCTGTCTCTCTGTCTCCGTCTCTCTGTCTCTGTGCCTCTGTCTCCCTGTGTCTCTGTCTCTTTCTCTCCTTGTGTCTCCGTCTCACTATGTCTCTGTCTCCCTGTGTGTCTGTCTCTCTGTGTCTGTGTCTATGTGTTTCTGTATCTCTGCGTCTCTGTCTCTCTGTCTCTGCCTCTCTGCGGCTCTGTCCCTCTGTGTCTGTGTCTCCCTGTGTCTTTGTCTCTCTCTCTCTCTCTTCCTGTGTCTCTGTCTTCCTGTGTCTCTGTCTCTCTCTCTTCCTGTGTCTCTGTCTCGCTGTGTCTCTGTCTATCTGTGTCTCTGTCTCTCTGTGTTTCTGTCTCTCTGTCTTCCTGTGTCTCTGTCTTCCTGTGTCTCTGTCTCTCTATGTGTCTGTCTCCCTGTCTTTGTATTTCTGTCTCTCTGTGTCTCTGTCTCCGGCTCCCTGTGTCTCTGTCCCTGTCTCCCTGTGTCTCTATCCCCGTCTCCCTGTATCTCTGTCTCCCTGTCTCCCTGTGTCTCTATCCCCGTCTCCCTGTATCTCTGTCTCCCTGTCTCTCTGTGTCTCTGTCCCCGTCTCCCTGTATCTCTGTCTCCCTGTCTCCCTGTGTCTCTATCCCCGTCTCCCTGTATCTCTGTCTCCCTGTCTCCCTGTGTCTCTGTCTCCCCGTCTCCCTGTGTCTCTATCTCCGTCTCCCTGTATCTCTGTCTCCCTGTCTCCCTGTGTCTCTGTCTCCCCGTCTCCCTGTGTCTCTATCTCCGTCTCCCTGTATCTCTGTCTCCCTGTCTCCCTGTGTCTCTGTGTCTTTGTCTCTCTACCCCATACTTCTCTCCCATGCAGAACGTTACCTGGGAGATCCAGTACACAAACTCCCTCTTCAAAGGTAGAGGACACCGTGCACCACCTACACACATAAAGACAACAAAGATCCCCGTATAGCCTCAAAAGAATGTTGGGGCAAGTGCCGTGAGCGAGCGCCTATGAAAGTCATCATGACACACGAGTGGATGCCACGCCCGGCCGCCTTTGTATTTCCAACGCTTGATTTTTGTACACCCCGCACCATGTACCCATTTACGGATGAGTCGACCTCGCGGAGGACCCAGGACCGATTCAAATATTCACCACCAACGATGGCCGTGGGCGGAAATTGAGAGCGAGTCGCTGTGTTCGGAGCGACGTGCGCTAACCACTGCGCCACCACTCCCCGAAGCATCAGTGGCGAACTTTTTAACCGGTTCTGGGCATCGCCTAGGGCAGCGGTCCGCAACCAAAATAAGAAGAGCTGTCGCCTGATGAGGCTGATTGTTGTTGTTATTACCGGCGAAACGCCGCGGTTTTAAAATTGTAAATGTTGTCGTGGGTTTATTCTCCAACGCACAAGCGGTGTGCTGAGATAGTAACGAATTGGCATGTTTGGTTTACATTACGACCCCTTGCTAATGGGTTGTGTCGGGTGGTGGCGGGTTTTAACGACACATTTATATGTTTTCGCGATCTCACCCAAAAACCTCAATAATGCATTTTTGCTCATTATTTCAAGAGCAGCAATGCAACGCGAACACGAGACGGTGGTGCTGAATAAATGCCACGAAGCAGCCCTTGAAGAGCCACCGCATGCACCTCGGGACCCCTGGGCCTAGGATGACTTAAATGAAGTACCTGGTGCGGTGTGTATGAAACATCAGCACTGGGGAGACAAAGGCGTTCGGGCGTGGTGCTGGTGATCACCCACCCCCTCGTGTGCCGTACCGGCCTTCATAGTAGGTGCCAACAGCACTTGCCCCAGCAGTCTGTGCGGGCTACACGGAGGATCTTTGTCTTTGTAATCCGTGCACACACGCACACAGACACCCATGCGCACACCCACGCACCATCTCAATGGAAAGGGGAGGCGGTGTTGGTGACTCTGCAGCTGCTACCGGTGGTGGTAGTGGTGTTTGTAGGAGGTGGTGTTTGTATGGTTGCTCTGTTGCTTGCTTACTTTGGCGATGTTGTTGTTGTCGTCGTTGTTGTTGTTGTGGATGGCGGTGGTTAGTTGTGGTGTGGGGGAGCGGTGGCGTAGTGGTTAGCGCGCCGCGCGGCGAACCCCAGCGCCCCGAGGTTAGAATCCCGCTAATGGCCAATAACAGCGACGAGCATCTGAACCAGTTCTGGGCCTCCACTAAGTTGACTCAGCCTTAAATGAGATACCTGGTGCGATGTCTAAATGTAAGCATTGGGGAGACAAAGACGGCCGAGCGCGGTGCTGGCCACCCACTCCGTCGTGCGCCGTTCCGACCTTAATCGCTTCTCACTAACAGCACTTGCCCCAACAGTCTAGTAAAGGGGCTGTCCATAAATGACGTCACGCACCTAGGGGGGTATGGGTCAGACATTTGTGACGATGTGTGACGAGGGGGGGGGGGGGTGAGAAATGTGACGTCACATCAAAATGCGCAACTTTAAATAAATATAGCCAACACTTTCTACTTCATTAAATAGACTTTTTAAGAAATGTTTTCTCCTACAACATCAGAGTGCAGCGCCACATTAAATACGCACCACAATGACAATAGTTTAAAGCGATTTGAAGCATGTTTTATTTGGGGGGGGGGGGGGGGGGGCAGAGCTTTGTGACGTCATATTTGAGGAGAGGTCTGACTTTTTGTGACGCCGTGTGACGAGAGGGGGGGGTCAAAAGTCGTCATTTATGAACGGCCCCAAAGGCTATAGGGGGATCTTTGTCTTTGCCGCTGAGGACAGCGGTGGAAGAACTTAACCCAAGCGATGCAATCAGTCCTGATTGCATCGCTTGACGCCACGGCTGCTGATACTGCCTTGGCTTCTGCTGATGACAATGATTCTTCTGATGATCCTGATGCATCTATTGATGATGATGATGATGGCAATGATGGCGCTTCTGCTGCTTCTGCTGCTGCTGCTGGTGTTGCTACAACAGTATTCATGTTGCTTATTCCGATTCTGCCGAGTCCTCTGCCAATGCTTGACACTGCTGCTGCTGCTGCCTCTGCTGATGATAAAGATTCGCCTCACGATACCAATGTTGCTGCTGGTGCTCTCGCTCCTTCTTCTGCTCCTGACGACGACGCTAACGATCCTCCCCGTGGCGAGCAGCCATGAGCCACATGCTGTGCATCGGCTACGGCCAGCAGGCTCCCGTGGGCATGTCCGACGTGTGGCTCACCATGCTCAGCATGATCGTGGGCGCCACGTGCTACGCCATGTTCGTGGGCCACGCCACGGCGCTCATCCAGTCGCTCGACTCCTCGCGCCGCCAGTACCAGGAGAAGGTGCGGGGAGGGACGGGGGGGGGGGCTGGGATCGTGGGGTGGGGGGGCGCATGTAAGGGACCTGAAGAGGATCCGGTCGGGGACTCTATGGGGGTGGGAGGGGTACTTTGGGGATAGGGAAACAAGCGGCCCGGGCAGCCGGGACACCTGGGGTAGTAGAGCAGAGCGTTTCTTCCTGAGTGAGGCCTTATGACCAACCCCCCCCCCCTGCTGCCCGTGACCCCCCCCCCCACCCCGGCCGTGTCCCTACAGTACAAGCAAGTGGAGCAGTACATGTGCTTCCACAAGCTGCCGGGGGAGCTGCGGCAGCGCATCCACGAGTACTACGAGCACCGCTACCAGGGCAAGATGTTCGACGAGGACAACATCCTGGGGGAGCTCAACGAGCCGCTCCGAGAGGTGTGGCGTCGTCGTCATTGTCACGACCCTCGTCGTCGTCGTCGCGATCGTCGTCGCGATCGTCGCGATCGACGTCGTCGTCGCTGCCGTGACGGCCATCGTCACGGCAGCGGCGGAATCGTCGTCGCCGTGGTCGTCGCCACCAGCATCGCCGTCGTCGTGGTTGATCGGGATGGTCGTCGTCGTCGTCGCCATCCTCGTTGTGATCGTTGGGGGTTGGTGGGGGGGGGGGGGTGGCGGCGGTGCGGTACTGAAATTTCGAGGTTTTGAAACCGGGGCTCCGACATAAATAAAAACGAAACATTCGCAATGGAAACACTGCTGATCTGATTTGATTAACGTCTTTTGTTATTTATGTCATGGCAAATCATCGGCTGTGTCAATAACAGTACCGAGCAACAAAAGCAACTCGATAGACATCAACAAAGTCGCCACATTCAGGGCTCTCATGGGTGCCATTCTTGTATTCACCACTCTCTTTTCACCTGCCCCCCCCTCACCGTCCACTCTGACCTGCCTCCCGTCTCTCACCCCCCCCCCCCTTCCCAATACCGCACAGTCCATCGTGAACTTCAACTGCCGCAAGCTCGTCGCCTCCATGCCCATGTTCGCCAACGCCGACTCTAACTTCGTGACGGCCATGCTGACCAAGCTTCGCTTCGAGGTCTTCCAGCCGGGCGACTTCATCGTGCGCGAGGGCACGGTGGGCAAGAAGATGTACTTCATCCAGCACGGCGTCGTCAGCATCATCACCAAGGCCAACAAGGAGACGAAGCTCGCCGACGGCTCCTACTTCGGAGGTAACGCTCGCCGCTCCGGTCCCCGGCTACCGGCCCGGGACGGCGTCGACCTCCCCCTTCCCCGCGTTCGGATCCGACGTGGCCGCTCCGGTTAATGACGATGAACGCTGGGGGTGGGAGAGGTCGGGGAGGGTGATGCTAAACGTGAATGTGCGCAGAGGGTGCGGTGCTTCAAAAGCGTCACGACGGGGCCACAGTTTGCCAAATACTGAAAAATTACATCGCAAATTCAATGACTCGATTGGGATTACACGCAGCAGCCGCAGCAACAGCAGCAATTATGTCTCCCCCCCCCCCCCCATTGAAAGCCTAATGCCCGTTGTGAGGCCGAGTGCTAAGTCACATTGTGATGCGTGGGGCATAGCTGCTGCCGGGCGGTGCCCTTGGGATGTTTGAGATGGAACAGAAGGTGCTTTGCTTCTTCTCATTCCTCGCACTGCCTCCTCCCATCGTCTCTCTCCCCCCCCCAAGCTCTTAAACCAACAACAACAACCTCGTTCATAACGCGTATCCATTACCACTCTGATGGTGCTGTTTCTTGCTGGGGGGACTTGCGCTCGGCATCTGCGTAAGTAAACAAAACAAAATCCCGTTGACGACGAACGACTGGACGAGCGCGGCGTTCCCCGCGCCGCGCTCGTGGCGCCGCCGTCCCCAGCTCCCTCCCTCGGCTCACAGAGGCGGCGGCCTCCCCCGCCGCTCCGCGTCGTTGCAGAGATCTGCCTGCTGACCAAGGGCCGCCGCACGGCGAGCGTGCGCGCCAACACCTACTGCCGCCTCTTCTCGCTCTCCGTGGACCACTTCAACGAGGTGCTGGAGGAGTACCCCATGATGCGGCGTGCCTTCGAGACCGTGGCCATCGACCGCCTCGACCGCATCGGTGAGACGCCCTCGCGTCTCCCGTTTGTCTCACCGTGTCTCCGCGCGCCTCCGTCTCGTCGTCCGTGTGTCCGCGTTGACCCCACCGTGCCTCCGTGTGTTCTGCGCGACCCCTCGTGTCTCTGGCGGTCTCTCCCCGTACGCTTCTCGTGTTCCCATGCGATTGCGGTGTCTCAGTAACGCGAGTGTGCGCCTCTCCGTGTCTCCGTGTCGCCGGTCACTATTCGTTCGCTGGTGTGTCCCGTGCCTCTGTGTTTCTCCACGCGTCTCCGTGCGTATCTGTCTCTGCGTGCACTGCGCCGCGTCTCCATCTCGTCGCGACTCTGTTCATCGCCGCGTCTCCCTCCTCGCCTGCTTCTACCCCTTGTCCCCCCTCCCCTCCCCCCACCTCCAGGCAAGAAGAACTCGATCCTTCTGCACAAGGTGCAGCACGACCTCAACGCAGGAGTCTTCAACACCAAGGAGAGCGAGATCATCCAGAGGATCGTGAAGTGCGACCGCGAGATGACGTACCGCGAGAACGAGCTGAAGGAGGCCCTCGCGCTGCAGGCCGCCGCCGCTGACGGCGCCGCCGCACGCCGCGCCTCCATGGCGGCCAAGCGCTCGGCGCTCAGCTCGCTCATCCAGTCGAGCGCCGCCATGTCTGTCTCCATCGCGCTCACACAGAAGGGAGGAGGACAGGGAGAAGGAGTCGTCGGCGGTGGCGGCGGCGGCGGCGGCGGATTCTTGCTGGGACCCGTGGCCCAGTCGCCGGGGGCTGCCGGCGGTAGCAGCGGCGGCGGCGGTGGCGGCGGCGGCGGTAGCAGCGGCGGCGGCGATGACAGTGGCGGTGGCGGCACCGGAGGTTCCGTGTCTGGGTCTTCCTCCACCACCGGCCTCATGCTCCTGCAGCAGCAGCTGCAGAAGCACCAACAGCTGCAGCACGAGTTGCAGCTGCTGCATCAGCTACAGCAGCAGCAGCAGCAGCAGGGCGTGGGGACTCACGGAGAGAGTGGTGAAGCTTCGCAGCAGCAGCAGGCCCAGGCCGCCGCCACCACCACAGCGGCCATGGTGGTGGGCTCCCCACAGAGTACCTCCCACTCCCCCACATTGGTGCAGAGTCCCCCGGCCGCGGTTCACGGGGCCCCCGGCAGCCTCCACCGCCAGATGGCGACCACCTCGATGGGCGCGGGCGGCACCGTCGCCCCCCACCAGCACGGCGGGGCCACAGTCGCCCCGGCGCCGGGGACGACCCTGCTGCTGGGGATGCAAGGGGGGGGACCCGCCGGGGGGGCCTCCGACCGCCGCCGTCGGGGTGGGGGGTCTGGGCAGGGACCCCTCGAGGGTGCTGTCGGCCTCGCAGCCGGCCCTCCCTCCCCCACCCCTGCCGACGGGCCACGACCCGCAGCCGCCCCGTCACGCCGCGGCCGGCCTCGCCTCTCCGTGCCCCCCGGTGTACCCGGGCGGCGCCCCCGCTCAGAGCATGTCCCCCGCGTGCCCCGTCGGGGCCGCGTGGCCTCTGTCGCGTGGGACCAGCGTGCGAGGACGCCCGCTGGCCCGCCAGGTCTCCTCCGAGAGCCTGCCGCCCGCGCCGGCGGTAGGGCCGGCCACCGGGGTAGGCGTTGGGGCCCTCCCCGGGATCCCGGCGCGGCCGGGGCCCCTGGGCCACGTGGCCGCGCCGCCCCCGCCGCGCGGCGTCCTGCTCAGGGCCGCCACCGTGAGCCAGCGGGACTCCCCCCTTCTCCCCGAGGGAGACCCCAATCGCGCGCGGCTCCCCTCCAACCTCTAGCCTCTAACCCCTGTTCTCTAACCCAGGGCTTCGTCTGTCACGTTGCTCCCGGTTGAAGAGACTTTGGCCTTGACCGGGGTCCTGGATTGGGGTCCCGCCCGCCAACCCGCCATAAATTTGGGGTTCAGACCGCGGGGATCGACCGATGGCAGAATGCGTTTGGCGAGGTGGGGTGGCATCTACAACGTTTTTGGCACGATGATGATGATGATGACATCTTGATCTTGTTCAAAAGATGGCCAAGCGTATATTGCCTATCGCGGTGGGAAATCGAAGAGACCAGGATAATTCTCGTTTGCACGAGTCACCTGGCCCACCACAATGACAAAAGCAAAGCACATTCGAGACGGTGGTAACTGGGGGGGAGGGGGCGGCATTGCATGAGGCGCAGAGACTGGCGGGGGGGGGATGCTTTCTGTGTCGGCGAGCGCCGATTTTAAGGCCGTCGTGTGCCGTGCGAGGTGGTGGCTGGGTTTATTGAGGGCAGTGTCTTTAGCACGAGTGTGCACGCCCGGCCGTCTTTGTCTCCCCGTGGCGCAGACGGTGGTGAAGACACCACCTTTTACTGTGCTCTCGTTTAATGCCGAGTCAATCTAAAGGAGCCTCCGTGCAGCAGCGTTGGTGCGCGTGAGTTAGGAGTCGAACCCCAGTGCTGGAGGGTTGTGGTGCAGTGTGACACTGCACCACACACACACACGCGCAAGTGTGCACAGTTACATACACACGTATGCAAATATAAGCAACATACACACAGATACACAACAACACCGATCCCCTGCGTGGAATTTTGAACTTGCAGGGGCTGTTAACGAGCAGCTATTGAGGTCGGTATAATGCATGAGAGAGTGTCACAGTCGTGTTTGTCTCCCCAATGCTGACGTTTTATACACTGCACCAAGTAGTTATTTAAGGTTAAGTCGACCTAGCAGGGACGATCAGAAATGGTTCAAGATGCCACTTGCCACTCGTGTTGAAACCGAGGTGGCTGAGATTACGGCGCAGTGCGCGAAACACTGTGATACACACACAGAGAGGTGCAGACAGATACACTTTAACACCTGCGCGGCACAGGTGATTGTTACGCTACTTTGAAGCTCTCGCATTCCGCTTTGTAAAGGTGACTTCGTTTGTGAATTCATGTGGGGGGGGGGGGGGGGGGCGGGGTAACTCACGTAGATGTCCAATGTTGCGTCCATTCATATGGGAAGGGCGGTCACAAAGTTTTGAGAACTTGTATATTTCAGCGATGAAAACATGCGCAACTGAACTGTGTCAACTTGCCAGAAGAAGTACCTCTAAAATTAAATGAAGTTCACGTTATCTATCCGGGCGGTGGTGGCTATGCACGTGGCTGGCTGTGACCCAGCAGTGTGGAGGCAGCAACGAGGTTTGGTGGATCGCACGCAGATGGGTTGTGAAACTCCCTTCCCGTGGGTGTTGAGGAGGAAGCTACTCTCTGGCTCGCCAGGAGAAGGTAATACAGGGGAAATGTGGACTCCATCTGTCCGTTCGGTATGGGAGCGTGTGTTCAACTCAAACGCGTGGGTTTTCTCTAGGTTTGCACATGCAAGCACTCATTCATTGGCCGACAGCTTAATATTTCGAGGACCGCAGAGCTTGGGCAATTGTTGGCGCCAGCTCACCGCGTGGCTGCTCCTGCCTTCCCACGTGTTTGTGGTTCCTCGTGCCTCTAAATCATTGTCCCACTTCCCGAGCGAGCGAATACTGCGAGGTGCGTTACAGGTTCAAAATTATTCATTCGCAGCCCTTTGTTAATCCGCTGCTGGGTAAAGGCCCTCCCCCACGCGGTGTCGGTCGCGCAATGCAGGTCAGCCGCGAGTCGGTGAGCAGGGGCCACCCGGGCACTGCTCCAAATATAATTCGCCACTGATGTTAGGCAGTGGCTGGGAATCGAAACTCGGGTGGGCGAGCTCACAGCGAAAGTGCGATAGCCAATACTACACCACCCCAGATTCCATTCCTGCGGACGAACTTCGGTTTAAAAGTTAAACACGCTCATTATTGTCAAACAGGATTTTAGTTCTCACATAAGACGAAAAAAACAACACTTGTAACAATTATATTTTTCTCACAAGGCTGCCTGATAATTAGTTTTATATTTTAATATCCGTTTCGCCAAATCTCCTGTGCTTTATTTTTTAATTACGACCAAAGTGTACTGGATTATTGGATGAAATCTTGAGCCTTTGTCCTTTTGCCTACTATTCACAGGTTTAATCATCGCTCTTCCCTAATCCGTAAAAAAAAAATCTTGCCTCGTCATATTAAATCCCCAGAGCTCATGTCAACACTGACTTTTAACCAGAGGCTCGGCCTTTAGGGATGGGTAACCCAGGGTGGCCCTACCTGGGCACGAGGCAACGGAGGGGCGCCCAAAATATACCTATACAGAGAATGTCATCTATTTTGTTTATCCAGTTTTGCAAGTGCGTCATTAAACGTGAATGTAATTGGTGATACTAACACACACAATCTCTCTCCGCATGACAAATAACAATTGGTTGGGTCATTACTATAGGCCGCTTGCACAGAGTGGCAAATTAGGTGTTTTCCCACGGGAGCGTTTACGTTCAGGCTTGGCCTGGTTAAGCAAAGCGTTCTAAATCAGTCAAGGCTCTCGCTTCTGCCTGCCTATGATGAACAATTCACAAATCGCGGGGGCTAGACGGCAAAGTATACACAGTGGATTACTGAATCCATCTGTGCTGGAACTTTTGAGTTGTCAATCTCCACGTAATAGGTTGCTGGGTTTTCTCCGGGTTCTCCAGTTTCCCTTCCGCACGAAGCATCGTACAATCTCGCGAATGGAGTCGTGCACCCAACATCCCCCATGTTAGCACAGGACCCTCCTGGCAAGTCGTCTCGGGACTCAGTGGAGGCTTTCGCAAGGTGCATAGTTGGGCGTACATTATGAACAGTATCGTATGATTAGAATTGCGGGGTTGGTTTACTCTGCACGTGGCTAACGGAGCCTCCGACGCGCTGTATAATGAAGGAATGTACCGGTGAGGTATTTTATAACGCCACGAGTTAACAACGCTTGACGAGCGAGATGCGGGCCTTCCCTTGCGGGCGGGACCGCCATTGTGGATGGCATCTCCATAGCAACGCTGCTGCCCTCTTGACGTCCCTTTGACCGTCTTCGTTCCACTTTACCGGCAGAACCCGCGGAGTGGAGAAGACCGAGTAAATGTTCCCCTAATTAGCTAATCACCGTGACTAATTAGGGCTGGGGCGGAGGGGGAAGCCATGACGACGATGACGACGACGGATGATGATGATGATGATGCTGATGATGATGCTGATCGGAGAATGGCGACTCGGCTGTTGTTGTTTTTTTTGTTGTATCAAAATGTCCGCGTCGCACCGTCGCTCGTGCGGCTCGAGTTAAACAAAACAACAACGCCCAGATGAGATGTGGCAACGTGTGTTTCCCAACGGCGGAGGAGGGGGTGGTTTGATTGACGGCGCATGTTCTGTATGTTGTACTGTGCGTTGAACTTCTTTCGAACCGTACATAGCCAACCCATGCTGAATCGGGAGGTGCGGGGGAAGGTGGGGAAGGACAACAAACTAAACACACACACACACGCAGTACTAAGGAAAGAAAAGGGTTGGTGGATCAGACAGAGACTTGTGTGTGGAACGACATGAACTCCTCCACTCAGCTGGATGCGGGTTCTCGGACACGTCCTTGTGGACCTTTCTGAGAAACGTGCCCCTTTATTTGCATGGGGGCGGCTTGTCTCGGGCTTGTCTCCAAGTAGAACGCAACAACAACAATAATAATAATGCTGTCGAGCACTCATGAAAAAGGAAATGGCCAAACATTCCAATGCAGGGCCCTGCTGAGGTTTCGTGAGACTAAGGCTCACCTGAGTAAACTGAACTGTTGGCAATTACTTCACGCAGGGGCGAGGAACCCATTTTTTCCCTTACGGAGGACCAAATAGGACACTTAATAGCCGATTAGTGCAGCTAGATGCTTATAGTGACTGATAAATAGCATCCGTGGTTTAGAAAGAGATACATGTAGGCCTTGTGTGGCCGTGGGTGGTGTGAGATGAAGTCGTGGGCCGTGTGAGATGAAGTCATGGGCCGTGTGAGATGAAGTCGTGGGTGGTGTGAGATGAAATCTTGGGCGGTGTGAGATGAAGTCGTGGGCCATGGAGTGGTGTGAGATGAAATCGTCGGCGGTGTAAGATGAAGTCGTGGGCCATGGAGTGGTGTGAGATGAAATCGTGGGCGGTGTGAGATGAAGTCGTGGGCCATGGGGTGGTGTGAGATGAAATCTTGGGCGGTGTGAGATGAAGTCGTGGGCCACGGGGTGGTGTGAGATGAAGTCGTGGGCGGTGTGAGATGAAGTCACGGGACGAGTGAGATGAAGTCGTGGGCCGCGTGAGATGAAGTCGTGGGTGGTGTGAGATGAAGTCGTGGGTGGTGTGAGATGAAGTCGTGGGTGGTGTGAGATGAAGTCGTGGGCCGTGTGAGATGAAGTCGTGGGCCATGGGGTGGTGTGAGATGAAGTCGTGGGTGGTGTGAGATGAAGTCGTGGGTGGTGTGAGATGAAGTCGTGGGTGGTGTGAGATGAAGTCGTGGGCCGTGTGAGATGAAGTCGTGGGCCATGGGGTGGTGTGAGATGAAGTCGTGGGTGGTGTGAGATGAAGTCGTGGGTGGTGTGAGATGAAGTCGTGGGCCGCGTGAGATGAATTCGTGGGCGGTGTGAGATGAAGTCGTGGGCCATGGGGTGGTGTGAGATGAAGTCGTGGGCGGTGTGAGATGAAGTCGTGGGTGGTGTGAGATGAATTCGTGGGCGGTGTGAGATGAAGTCGTGGGCCATGGGGTGGTGTGAGATGAATTCGTGGGCGGTGTGAGATGAAGTCGTGGGCGGTGTGAGATGAAGTCGTGGGCGACGTCTGGCTCATGGGCCCGTGGGTCCCTCACCCCTGCTTTGAGTGAGGAGGAAGGTTGGTGATGAAGTTATACTTTGTGACCAAAAGTAAAAATTGTTTGACCAAACTAAACAGCGTAAAGTTGTAACAAGTGCTGCCATTCAGGTCACTTATCAGAACGAAAACAAGCGGTTCGCCACAGTCCTTGCTAAAATATTTGCTCTTGATGCTGCTGTTACCGTTACTGTGTTCCAGGTTTGTCCAGGCAGCTGCTATTGCTGTTGATGATGTTGACGGTGTTAACGTTGTTAACGTTGTTGATGATGTTGACGGTGTTGACGTTGTTGATGATGCTGCTGCTATGTTGGAGCTGGACACTTGCCATGCGTTTCACTTTGCTCGTCGGTCTTCGTTTGTGTACGCGCATCCCCGTCCTTTGCTGTTGTTGCTGCTCTTACTGCTGCTACCCCCTGCATCTGTTGTCTGGCCTAAATGCCATCATCCCGTGTTGCTGGCTGCTGCTGATGATGATGACGGAGGCAATGATGTCTCCGCGGGAGCTGTGGTTGGTGGTGGCGAAGGACTCATTTTCAAACCGTGCCGCAAACACTGGGGTAGGGGGGGTGGTTCTCCAGTCAATCGTCCAGGCAGGAGTGTGTGAACATGGCGATCAGAAAGGGGATAACGTCTCAATGAACGCTTGGATAGAGGGGATAAGAGAATTATCAAAGAGGACAAACGGGGAGAGAGTTCCTCAGCAATGGTGAATACACCCGACTGAGATTTTCAAGTCTGTTTCTCATGAATGTAAAGTTTATTGATGTAACCAGAGGAGAATTCAAGCGACCAGGGTTGTCTCATTTGCAAGAGTGACCTTGGTATAGCCGTCTTCAGAGAATGTGCCTACAAGAGCAGACTGGCAGGGCCCCCCCCATCCCCTTATGTTTTAGAATCTAGCCACTGCACCTCTTAAACACGTTTTCTGGTGCTGTCGTCCTGTCACAAACAACCAAACTATAGGGGACACAATCACGCGGTCTGCAATACAACTCCCACCTCATGTCGCCACTCTGCAATCTCATGTTGCAGGTGCTGTAAACTCTCGAATTTGAAAGTAGGCAAAGTTAACCAGAGGCCCCGCCAAAGCACTGGAAGTGGGGTTAGGGTATAGGGTCAATTGGGAGGACCGGTGTCTGGTTGGCTAGTTGGGTAGGGCTAACGTTTTATTGGCAAGTGCACTCCTTCCAGACTTATTTGCCCGCCCATCGCCATTGCAATGTGGTCGCCTTTTCAGTGTTGGGGCCTCTTTCGTTTTTGTCTACAGCGCCGCCTAGTGGCAGCTGTTGACTGTTGCACCTGACCTCCCACCACAATCAGTATTTCACCTTCTGCTGCCACCGACCAGATGTTAAGGGCTCAGAGAGAGAGAGGCATGTGTGTATATATATTTAACTTTAGACCTATACTGCATTCAGTGCAATTGTGTATCTCCCACGTGTGAGGCCTCATTCGGGGCCCCGTGTGCCGAGCGTGGCAGTGACGCTGTCGGTCCCGCGGTGGCGTAGCACGGTTGGCACTGCCCCTTGGTGCGAGGAATGATATTGAGGATTCGTCCCAGTTACCCTCGAATGTCGCTAGAAACTTGGGCACCGGCTGTGCACTCCCGATAGCTACGCCGCGGCGGTCGTGTCTGTCCGCACCTCGTCCGTACGACGGAGGTTCGTCCTGGTGGACGCGACGGCGTGGATCTCCCTCCCTTTGTGTGCAGCAGCGCTAGTAATTAAGACTAATCAAGCAATAGCGGTGACGTCGCCGCGTTTCGGGGTCAGTGCCCGGCCCCTCCCTGCCCCCGTCCTCTCCGCTGACCCCCCGCTAACCCTCTGCTAATCCCTCGCGCTCATCCCTCGGTGTTGTAGAGCGACCAGCCCTGCCCACTCAAGAGCAATGACTGCCATCAATAAATGCTTGCCATGATCACTCCCACCGCGTCGGTCTGGCTCGCAATAGGCAGGGTCACTGCGCGACAAATGAGGCCCCGTGGGGCTTCTGGGGTGGCCCAGAAGACCGTGACTGCACAGCAAGAGGACTGCCATCCGAGCAGAAGGGATGGAGAACCTGGAAGCACTCTGACCACTCCATACGATGACGCTGCAACCCGTCTCGTCAGGGATTAGTTGGGCCGCAGCGTCCTCGTTAACAGAGGGATTAGTCTCAGTCGGGCGGGTCGGGCAACGCGGAAAATATTTCCACACCCAGCAATTCACATCCCGTAAACGTCTTGCTATGGCTGCGACTAGTCATGTGCCTACTCCGGTCAGTCTACCATCGATGTGGACGATACTCCGCGAGACATTAATCCCAGTGGGTACGCTACGTCTGGCTCCACAAAGACTCCGACCATCGCCACCTGAGCATTCCAGGACTGTCGCCAGAAGGGGCCCCCTGTGTAGCAGTAGAGGGTTGACCACATGCAGACACGTTGCAAAGTTAAGTTGCGCAGCTATAGTGTCTAGTTGTGTAAGCCTACAGGGGTGTTAAACTACCGTGCCATACGTGCATCATATTCTTAGTTCTGGAATGTTCCCCACTCCTCGGGTCTGCCTTCCTGGCCCCCACTGGGATATACTCACTACGGTGCCACTGGGATCACACCCTCTCAATCTTACTTGAGTGTAAAAGTCAACTGCTCAGGGTGCTCACGATCTCCTTATTTTCTGCATTTATGCCTCTATACTCCGACTTGATATGTATTGCCTGTGATTCATATCTCAAAGCCGTCAAGCAACCGGTAGAAGGATCTTTAAAATTGCAGTGCATTAACAGGATAATTAAAAAAATCAAGAGGCGTGAACTTGAAAATACAAAGTAGAATTGTGAGTGGCACCCTCGCAAATACACCAATTGAATTGGTTAATGCATGCATACTTCTTGTGCCTATCGTGGATGAATTGTAGGAATTTGAACTCACGGAATACAACGTCCATACTTTTAGCGATACCCAATTCATTGTTTATTAGTGCCCAATCTTGCCTTGTGGTAGTCACCATCACTGGCAGCACACTCGTCATGGGCACGATAAAGACACCGTGACGATGTTTGTGAAAGTAGGCCACTGTGCCGGTATGACCACGGGGCAGTGAAGGCACGGGATGCCCTTTACAAACCACGGATCCATCCCGCGCACCGCACCACACACACCACGACCCCACATAGCCCACAGTTTCAGATTTTATTGACGTCAATGGCAGGAAAAGCAACACCCCGACCACAATGCATGTCTGCAGGCTGCCGAGCAACCCGGCATGGGTTTTGCCAACTCCTCCTCGTGTCTTGTCGTGAGCTTTACATGCAGAGCCACTGACAGGGTCTGTCATTCATAGCCGGGGGGGGAGGGAGTGGTGGGGGGGGGGGCATTTTAAAACCCGATGCGGACTTGCTCATCGCTGGTCCACCCACACAGGTGGTTGTGGCTCACAGTATGCTGCATCCCAAGGGGAAACTGGCCACTGCGTCTCAGGTGCATGCGTTCCGTCGCAGGAGGAGGGCAGCGGTGGCGCGGGGTTTAGCCCGGGGGCCACCCCAGCTGGCGCCCGCCCAGCACGTGCAGGTGCAGGTGGTAGACGGACTGGCCACCTTCAGGCCCGTCGTTTAGCACCAGCCGGTAGCCGCTGCTTAGGCCGACCTGCGCGGCCACCTTCGCCGCCACCAGCATCAGGTGTCCGAGCAACTGCGCGCAAGCAAACACATATGCACACGTGTACGGTGACACACTGGTACGCGTGCATACGGTAGCATGAGTGTACATTGACATGCTCACAAAAGATATCCTGTGTAGCCTTTAATGGACTGTTTGAACAAGTGCTCTTAACGGTTTCCCATTCCGAGACATCTGCAAATTGCAGGGTCGGTGTCCAGTTCACCACTGAATCTCGGAACGCTCAAACGGCTTGGCGTTAATTGTAATTAGAGAGGCGTAACGCCATTGTTTATGAAGACATTATACTCATCGCAGAGATATGTAGTGACACGACAGCACTCTATGACAGCTGGTGCCAAACTGTGCCGCACGACCTCCCGCAGAGCTTTGTGGCAGCCTCGGTACCGATAAAGTTATTTTATTAAAAATTTTCTTCCGGTTTCGTTTTGATGATGTACACGTACGTCATCGGAACGGGAAAGGGTTAAGCGAGCCCCTAATCAAGGCTGGCAGGTGCTCACGAGGTGGTGGTGTGGCCAGCAACAACACCACTTCTGATCAACCTGGCAGCAACACTGTTTCTAATTTTAGCACCACACTCGGTCACTTCCATCGCTGCAACGGGCCTCTATACTTGGCTGGCACACACGTTATTTTATGCGTTAATATGGGAAGCACAGTGTCCGCTAAGTGGGGAGTGGCAACGGTTCGCGCACTGCACTACGAACCTGGCGACCCGAATTCGTGTCTCGCTCACAGGCCTATACCAGTGACGATTATCTGAACTGGTCCAGGGCCTCCCCTAGGTCGACTCAGCCTCAACCGAGTACCCAGTGCAATGTGTAAAAACTTCGCCACGAGGGAGACAAGGGCGGCCGGGCTTGGTGTTGGCCACCCACGCCCTCGTGTGCTTTGCTGGCCGTCTTGATAGGTGCTCGCTAACAGCACTTGCCCCCAACAGTCCGTCAACGCTATAAGGGAAATCTTTGTGCCCGCTAAAGCTGTTATTCGGCCCCCACGAAGGGAAAACGTTCTTCAACCCCTGCCTTATCCCCTGGCCGGGAGATCCTCACCGCTTGGTCCTCGGCAGTGGCGTTGGGAAGTCCAGGGATCGCCTTCTTGGGCACGACGAGGAGATGCGTGGGGGCCTGGGGGGCCACGTCGTGGAATACGATACACTGTGCACACACACACGCACACACACACGCCAGCGACACACATTCATTCATGGTGCCTGCTCGATGCTGTGTCGACACGGGAGTCAACGCCCGTGGTGGATGCATGATGCACGTCCGTACGTTGAACTCCTTTCGCACCGTACCGTTATAGCCAGCCGTGCTAATTGCTGATGGGAATGTGCGGGGGAAGGACGACAACACTGAAACACAAAAAGCGGTCCTAAAGAAGCGAGCCGCCCGATGTAACGGGAGTGCCTCTGTGCTCACACACTCTTCACCAACCCGCACCGAACAGAGCGTCAAACACCATCAATACTCGAAACGCGACGACTTGCCTCTTAACGCTCGCGTGCTTGAGAACCACATGCTGACTTAACAACAACAGCAACAACAAGGCTGTCCCCGTGTTCAGCCCTTCATCAAGCCACTGTTCGCGGACAGTGCGGCTTATTCGACCATACCTCACCGCGCTGTGAGGTATGCTATGTGGGTTTGGGTGATAGAGTGGGGGGGGGGCATATACAAGCGGGAGCACAGAAGTACAGCACAACAATAGTTTTATTTTCGCTCGCTGCTCATCTGCCGCTCACGACATTACTTCGCTATGAGAGCCGGTGCGCGATCGGGACGCATCGCGGACTAATTGGTCACCAACCCACGATTGCAAATCAGCATCGACATCGTGACCCCAGCACGCCACGTGGCTGTCAAAAGTAGACTCACACTCCCCGTGAGGCCGAGTGGCCCAGGCGTGGCGAGTGACATCCGGAAACCTCGCGCCAGTGACCAAACGCCCTCGCGTTGACCAGCGTGGTGAAGTATGGTCAAGCAGCGTGGTGGAGTATGGTCAAGCAGCGTGGTGAAGTATGGTCAACCAGCGTGGTGAAGTATGGTGAAGTATGGTCAAGCAGCGTGGTGAAGTATGGTCAAGCAGCGTGGTGAAGTATGGTCAAGCAACCATCACGACCGACACACACGCGCGCGTCGTCCCGAGTGTCCAAACCGAGGAGTCGCCCACGTGTGTAGCCAAACAACAAGAGTCGGCCGCGAGTCGTCCGCGAGTCGACCACGTGTCGCCCGGTAGTTGCTTGCCAGTGCAGTCACCCACGCGTCGCCCGCAATTTCAATCAAGAGTCGCCCGGTATTTACATTATAGGACCTCCTTTGCCAGTAACAAGATACAGTAATAGGTTTTACCCTTTTAACTGGCACAAAAAACTGACACCTTTATTCAAGGCATCGTGTCTGCAATAACCACAACACAAGTAGTCAAAATGCAAACAAAAAAGACAACTCTGATAATAATATGCACTGTTTTGATTTAAAGCTTTCGTGACTGCAGTAATTCATATTCTTAGCTCTTTCGGTAAAGTCACGTTGAAGGGAAACAATAAAAAATATATAAAACAATAAAAATTCTCACGACGTTTCGTGAGAATTCTCACGACGTTTCGTGATAATTTTTATTGTTTTATATATTTTATATGTTTTATTGTTTCCCTTCAACGTGACTTTACCGAAAGAGCTAAGACTATAATATGCACTGTCCTTGAATTTGATTGGTCCACACCCGAGACGGCTTTCTTTAGAGCCTAGAGCCCAGTCTCCACTGGTGTTGGACCAGAAGACGCCTTTTTGGCGCCCTGAATAAAGCTGTGAGTTTGTTGTGCCAGTTAAAAGGGTAAAACCTTTTACTAGAGTCGCCCGGTAGCCGCATGCACCACACTCGCGGGTTGCGCGCAACAAAAGTCGCCCACCTGCTCGTCTTCGTGGATGATGTTGGCTGGAATCTCTTTGCGGATGATCTTGCCGAAGATGGTGTCACCCCCGGGCCGAGCCGCCAGCGCTTTGGCCACCTCGTCAGACATTTCGCCTTCACACCCCCGGCTCCTCCTTTGCTCTCTCCACTGCTGCACTGTCAAACCGAGACGCGGCGATCCGAATTCGTTAACGACGACTACGGACGATTCCGATCCACGCAGGCAAGCCGATTGTACAACACACGCGCTATCGATTCCACTTCACTCGCGTTGTCGATTCCACTACTGACGCGTTATCGATTTAGATCCCTCTCGGAAGATATAATGAGTCGATTCACCTGGATCGGTTCGCGTGCAGTTTGTCAGAATTTGCATTCGGGAGAACAAATGCACTTTTAATTTTAACGAGTTAATTTTGCTAATTATTGCAAAGGCAAAATAGTGGTCGCGCATTTAAGAGCTCGTTTATTCAGTTCAGTAATTATCGTGGATGTGACGTCATCCGACGCGGCATGCAACGGCATATACTGAGGTTTCGTGACGTCATACACGCGGCACAACCGCAAGGATATGACGTAACAACCTTTGTGCGTACCTTCATCGCGCAACGACGCCGCAATGTTGATCCGTGCAGCGTGACGTCACATTCATGTCGACCAAATAATTCCGTGACGTCACCCGCTGGTGATCGGCACGTGCTGCTATGGCACGGCTCATTTTGGCGTGACGTCATGTCGCCCCTTCCGCGAAACGCAAGCACATGACGTCATATTTCGCGAGATTTGAGCACGTGGGAGGAGCAGGAGACGCGAGACGTACGCATGGCGGCCCGGGCACAGGTGACCCCGCGTCTCCCCTTGCTCCCCGAGGGGTCACCCCGCGTCCCCCCGTGTCTCCCTGCTCCCGCGGGGTTGAGCCCGCTCGCTGGGTCCCGTGTAGATCCCCTAGACCACCCCCCTTGATGGGGGTGCAGTGGGCGCTTAGTGATGGGTGGACAAGGTCGCGGGGTCGCGCGAACGACGGAGCTCACGTGGGGAGTTGGTGATGGGGGTGATGATGGTGATGTGGGTGGTGGACGCATCTGACAATCATTTCCGTCAATTAACCCATAACATCTGGGTCTCTGCAGTGACGTCCTGCCATCAGCGAGCCTTCCACACTTCACGTGACAGCTTAAGCATTGCACCTAGCCCGGCACAAAACGTGCATGGTAACGTCACCGTTGATGATTGGGTGTGGAGGTGATAACGATAACGATCACTGGTGCAGTAGTTAGCGCACTGCGCTACGCACTTTTACACGTGAGTTCGCTACCAGACCGCGGTTAACATCAATGGCGAGACCTATCTGAAACGCGTCCTGTGCCTCCCCTAGTTCTGCTCAGCCTGAAATGAGTACCTTGTACGGACTGTGTACACATCAGCACTGAGGGTGAGGCAGAGGGGCCCTTGTCAGACACGTGCACCGTGCGTGCCTTAATAGGTGCTCGCCAACAGCACCTGGCCCCAACAGTGACTAAATGTGGGGGGCATCTTTGTCTGTTTACCCCCGGCCTCCAAAGGTGTTGTCTCTCTTCCGCGCCCTGCACAAGACGCGGAGGCGCGTGTTCCAGGACGACGCGGCGAGCCTAGATGGTAAGTGATGACAGTGTACAGCCAGCCACCTCTGGAACCATCCACTGCTGAATGAGCCAGCCCTCCCCCCTCCTCCTTCCCCACGGCTTTGCGGGTCGTCTTTGGAGGTTATCTGAAACATACTTCACCAGGCGAGGAGCTCACACGTGACAACATAGCAGTAGAGAACAACAATTTATTTTGCCGCAGCCAACCCACCCCATCCCCTGCTGCCTACAACGAATCCCCATAGCAAACCTGTAACAGCAGTTGTGCATGGAGGTAGGTGGTCGTTCATCCTTTCGCTATCCGGACTCAAATCTGCTTGGATGGTGAGATCTGACGAGAACCAGGTGCATTCTGGATCATTTGGTCCTCGGCGGTGATGTTTTTTTTTAGCGGCGACGTTCAGTTTTTTCGTCTGACAACTGCGTGATCAGCCATGATCAATCCACTGCTGGTTAAAGGCATGGATTTCACCACTCCAGTGTCTTGACTGTCATGGTAATCGTTAGTGCATTGAAACTGTGGCAAAAGGCTAGGCAATCATTGGTTTGTTATGAATTTCAAACTCTATGGATAGGAGAGCGGTGATCTTATAGATTTACTGGAAATCTGTGAAAAATAGTTTCATGGCTTATTGGATTCCTCCAGTATTCTGATTCTTTTTTACTTCATAAGCATGGCATCGTCACAGGACTGCGAGAGATGGCCGCGACTTGGATTGATGATGAAACATTGCCGCTTCACCTGTGCATGCGTCATCATCTCTCTCGTTGAAGCCGTACGGAAAATGATCAACGTGGAGTTTGAGAAGAACCGGCAGGAGTCGTCACCCGACAAGATCACCGAGGTGAGGATGGAACCCTTAGCATTGGAGGGGGAGCTGTCGGTGACCCCGTGACCCTATGAGCTGACCTCTGACCTACGCTTACAGCTGCTCAAGTTTGGCAGCGACGTGGAACTGGTTCTGAGGACGTCTGTGGTGCAAGCAGAGGTCATGGAGTCCGGGGCCCTGCGTGAGCTCCTCACACTCACGCCAAGGCCAATACACCGTCACACTGACACCATCACACCGACACCATTACACCGACACCATTACACCTACACCATTACATTGACAAGCCAACACACTGACACACCGTCACACCGAAACCATCACACCATTACACCGACACTTTTACACTGATACGCCAACACGCTGACACACCATCACACCGTCACACCATCACACCGACAGTATTACATTGACAAGCCAACACACTGATACACCGTCACACCGAAACCATCACACTGACACCATCACACCGACACCACACCGACACCATTACGCTGACACACAGTCACAAGGACACACCGATAGAGCATCACACCATCACACAAACACATGGACACAGCGACACACTGTCGCACTGACACACTCACACAGCAACATACCATCATCACCGGCAAAGCCATCATCACTATCAGCAGTGCCACCATCACAACACCTGTAGTGCCGATTCAACGACCAGCAGCATCGCGAGCAGGGAGTTACTTTCAGTGGGTGCTGGGTTCATGAACGTTAAGGCCATTCCATCATTCCCGTGCTGTGCTGTACTGAGTGGATCGCCGCTCGCTCACTCTTCTTGTCCGCCTTCCAGGCATCAACCCATCCAAGGAGCACATGGAGGAGGGCCCTCCGCCCGCCGGGGGCATTCCTAGGTGCTGTTAACAAGAGCTCATCACTGGCACATGCCCCCCTCCCCCACTCCGTCATCTACCCTGTACCAGGACCCCCCGAGGGCACCCCAAGGGTCCCCCGAGTGTCCCACCGAGGGCTCGCAGGAACCGCTACGCTGAGACCCATCGTCGGGTCCCAAGAGCTAAGCAGGACTGAGCTTGGATAGTGCCTGGATAGGTAATGACCACCATGCACATAGGTTTGCAATAGGCTGCTGCAGATGTACGTTGTGGGCAGAAGGCACTGCAGCAAGATCCATTGTTGTATTTTACTTCTATGCCCCCCATCCCCCCCGCCGCCTCCGCCAACCTGCACTGACCAGCGTGGTGAAGTATGGCCGAACAACCACCCGCGCACAACCTGCACGGTGCGGGGAGGCCCTCGTCCAGCAGTGCGTTGACAAAAGGGGCCGTGCATTGTTACATTGTTACCGCAAGCATGCGCTCGCTTGCCATTCCGACTTTTCTCAGAATCTTGGGAATACCAGCGCTCCGGACTAAAGAAGAGGGCGTGTGACGACACGCGTGCCTGGATTTTGCTCGTCGTTTCAGGCCTGATTTCATGAGTTGGCGGAGACCAAACTATTCCCCCCCCCGAACAGCCAAATCTTCAGAAACGATATAGGGGGTCATTCATCCGTAGGATAATTGTTGGAAACTGCCTCTCTCTTCACCAACACTTGAATTGGGACCCCTACCCCGCCCCCATGTTCAAAAAACAAGGCAGCCCGCATTCTCCTCCCCGCCCTAAGACTGCCTGCGTTGTCGCTTTGTCCACCAATAAATATCGATCGGCGATGCGCATGCACCTCGCCGTGGATTATTTGTTGACGTTTCATGTGTCCCGTGTTGATAACGCCGCACGCCGACCTGTCGGGTTCAGTTTCATTTATTTGGTATAACCCTGTGAGCCATTCGGCTCTTGAATCGGGTGCAACCACAAACAAAAAATAAAAACATGAACAAGAAAACATCTTAAAGTGACTGTGACTGTGCAAACAGAAAATCCAGGAAAAAACAGCAAAATATTCCTGAAAAAGCACCGTACACCAACGCTATGTGCAAAAATCCCAGTGGGATGCAAGTCAAACAACAACAACAACCACAAGAAAACTTAGATTAAGGCCATCTAACTCCGTACTACAACAAACAAACATGCTTCTCTTAAGTCTGTTAAGGCTCTACGGGGGGATATTTGTCTTTTGTGCCTGTACGGGAGTGTGTTTGGGCATAGGTGCTGGCCACCCACCCCTCTCGTGTGTGCCGTGCCAGCCTTCTGTTCATGCTGGGGGGTGCAGGAGGATTGGGAGGAATTGGGGGCTATTCTGCTTTGGTGTTCCGAGCACGGAGGGGTACTCTGTGGTGTTTCGCAGCAATGATACACGGCCCGGCATGTATTAATTGGTGCGGTCCAAAGGCCCGTGTGACACCAAGCGGCCAGCAACAAACAGTACGGCACTGTCAGAGTTGTTTTTTTACGTGTTGATGCGAAGCTCCAGTGATCGGCTGTTCGTTGCTGGTCGCTTGCACATCACATGGGTCTCTGTTGCAATCGAAAGGCGTTGCATGCGTTTCTTGAGCAAGGTTATTGCAGTACAGTGCGAGCTTGAGACTGCGGTGGAAGGGAATTGTGAAGACGAGAGGAGGTGCTTTGCACACAAGCTCACGGTAATTCACATGCGTGGCAATTACAGCGGTGGCCAATTAAGGAAACTGGCGTTAAACCAGATGAGACGCAGGCAGAGATGGATTACATCCTGCAAGCGATGACGTATGATCGTGCTGTTCACATTATTTCGCCGAGTTCAAATTAAAACGTTCCAACGTGGCCTTGTTATATATGGCAGGGCAAAGGTTGGGTTTGGAGTGTATGACCAAAGTGTAGGTGACTTTTGACTTAACTTTCGTGACTGCAGGAATTCATATTCTTTGGTTCTTTCGGTAAAGTCACGTAGATAGAAAAATAATACAAAATAAAGTGAATACAATTTTAAAATAATAAAACACTAATGTAGACTGTAGCCTGGTGCTATAATGTAGACTGTAGCCTGGTTATTAAGTTTGGTGAGTGTACTGGTAGTCTATAATGTAAACTGTAGCAATGGTTAAGCTGGGTGAGCGTACTGGCAGTCTATAATGTAGACTGTAGCCTGGTTCTTAACCTGAGTGAGCGTTCTGGCAGTCTATAATGTAGACTTATTGGTTTATTCAGTAATGAAAATAAAATATATTTTATTTATTTTTAATTAAATATATTTCATTTTTTAAAATAATATATATTTGTATTACTAAAAGAACCAATAATAAGTATATTATAGACTGCCAGTACGCTCACCAAACTTAATAACCAGGCTACAGTCTACATTATAGATTGCCAGTACACTCACTCCGATTAAGAACGAGGCTACAGTCTACATGAGTGTTTTTTTATTTAGTTTCTTATTCACCTTATTTTGTATAATTATTTTTTCTTTCTACGTGACTTTACCGAAAGAATCAAAGAATATGTAGTTTCAATCTTGATTTGAAGCTTTCGTGACTGCACGAATCCATGCTCTTTGGTTCTTGTAGGTTACTTATGGTACAGTCCGTCGCGCGCGTTAACAATCGGCGCGGACCGTACCACTGTCTGTAGGAGGCGGGTGTGTGGGGGGGTACAGAGTCCGCACGTCAATCAACGGGGCACGCGCCTCCCGAGAGTTGGCGGAGTACATATTTATTTATTTTTGTGTTTGTTGGCCCCGCCTACGTGCGAACGTCACTTCCGCTGGCGATTCAAACGCGGAGGAAGCGTGGCGCTTTGGGTTGGGCCGGGCTGATCGGAACCTCGAGTGGTCGCAGCCGTCTCGGACTCAACGCCAACGACCCCGCTACTCTCGCCACCGATTCTGGGCCTCAGAGTAACTAAAGCCGAGTCGCTTCGGGGTCTTCTTAACATTTTCTTTCTGGGGCCGAAACCAGGACTCTTTAAGCGCAACCGAACAAGAGTGGTTGCGATAATTCGATCCGAACAAGAGGTCATCCAAACGGGGAGAGATCCGCGCATCAGTGCCGGGGATAAACGAGAACTTCCCTTGCACCAGGGCTGGGCTGGAACATCTGCAGCCGGAACGTCCGGGGGTTGTTCCAAACCAGAAGCCGGCGGAGGAGGAGGAGGAAGAGGCGTCAGCGCGGATCGCGAAGACACGGGGACCGGGAGAGGTGAGACACTGGGGGACATCCACGTGGGGGTGGGGGGGTGAGACAGGAGACGCCGTGGGACAGAGAAACACCAGAGGATGAGACACGGGGAAGATACTAAGGCAGGAGACGAGAGACCCCAGCTTCTCTGTGTAAACATTGAGGGGATTGTTTGCTCTTTAAATACAGCAGCGCCTGACACTATGAGTAAATCAACCGGAATGTGTGCGATCTCACCTCGGAAGCTAAGCAGGGCTTGACCCTGAACAGTGCTTGTGGATGGGCGACAGCCACCATGCACAAAATCAATTTGTTGTACTGTACCTCTACGCTGCCGCGCCTATGCTCTCGCCGCCACCTCCAACCCGCACTGACCGGTTTGGTGAAGTATGGTCAAAAACCCCCCCAAACATAACCTGCATGCTCGTTGTGTTGGATGCCTTCATCCAGAAGTGTATTGGCAAAGGGGCTGTTCGCTGTAGATGTACACCGCACATTGTTGTTTAAATGAGGAACGTGGAGTTGGTAAAACCTTCACTGCGGTGAAATCACACGGCACATGACGCACCGGGGTGGGGGGATTGTAGGAGAGTGGGGAGGTTGGTGTGCAGCGTTCATTTAGTTATTTCGTCCAGCAATGGATTGGGCATTGATGATTTTTTAGTTCAGTTTCTTTATTTTGGTATAGCCCTGTGAGCCATTCGGCAATGGAATCGGGTGCAACCACAACAAACAAAAACACGAACAAGAAAAACATCTTAAAGTGACTGTGTGTGACTGTGCAAACAGAAAATCCAGGAAAAAAAACATCCAAATATTCCTGAAAAAGCACCGTATACCAACGCTGTGTGCAAAAAATCCCAGTGGTATGCAAGTCAACAACAACAACAACCACAAGTGGTGACAGAGCTGGGAGATCTTGTTCCCCACAATAACTTTCATTTGACTGATTAGTCAAACAACAGATTACTTGAATAATTGGATAGCCTAGCTCGATAAGTTTAATTGATTGTTTTTGTCCAAAACACTCAGATTTCTTTCCCCTTTACGGTCACAGAGTACAAGCCCAAATGCCCAAAACGCCAAGTGGCCACGGACAAGCAGCACTACTGAAAGCGTACAAGATAAGGGAGAGGGTTATGAGAACAGGCAATTACAACGAGTAACATGATAGTGATGATGACGAAGAGGCTAATGTAATGGGTTAAAGGCGAGTCGAAGCCTTCCTATGACTTGAGCGCGTTAACTACGCGACAAGGGATTGGGTGGGGTGGTGGGAAGCGGTGGTGTGGTGGATTGTTGGGGTGGTAGTGTTGTAGGTGGTGGTGTGGTGGATTGTTGGGGTGGTAGTGTTGTAGGTGGTGGTGTGGTAGACGACGGTAGTCTGGTGGTGGTGTGAAAGATGGTAGTGGGGTGGTAGATAGTGGTGGTGTGGTAGTTGGTGGGGTGGTGTTGTAAGTGGTGGTGTGGTAGGTGGTGGTGGGGTGGTAGTTGGTGGGGTGGTGGTGGTGTGTTAGTTGGTGGGGTGGTAGTTGGTGGGGTCGTGGTGGTGTTGTAAGTGGTGGGGTGGTAGATGGTGGTGGGGTGGTAGATGGTGGTGGGGTGGTAGTTGGTGGTGTTGTAGGTGGTGGTGTGTTAGTTGGTGGGGTGGTAGATGATGGTGTGGTGGTATTAGGTGGTGGGGGCGTTTGGTTGGTTCATTGGTTGTGGCGTTTGTTGAACTCTGCCGTTTGGTGAGACTGTGGTTTGTGTTCGGGGTTTATTTAGTGTGTGTTTCCTGGGGTGTGTATTTGGTTTACAGTATTATAGTGTCTGACGTGTGTTTCCTGGTGTATTGGGTCGTGTGTGCTGTTTGGTGTATGTGTTGTGCGTTTTGTGTGTGGCGTCTGGTGTTTACTGGGTGTGGTGTCTAATGAGCGTGTGTGGGTGTAGTATGTATTATACGTTGTGTGTGTTACCTCGTACGGTTGTGTGTCTGATGTGTATGTGGTGTTTGGTGTGTGTGCGTGGTGTGATACCTGATATGTGCGCCGTGCCTATGTGTGTGTGTGTGCGTGCTCGTGCCAGCTGTGAGTGGCGTGTTGTCTGTTCTCTTCAGAACACACCCCTGCTGCAGTACCATTCTGCATTGTTCCCCATGTCAATCAATCGGCCCCCCATCCACCTATTCAGCCCAATATCCATTCAGCAAGCACACCACTCACCCAGCCATCAACCACTCGCCCAGCCCACCATTCAGCCAGCTCACAACCAAGCCAGCCAGCCTATTACCAAGCCAACCAGCCCACCAGCCAGCCAGCAAGTGTGTTAGCCCACAACCCAGCAGGCCAGCCAGCCCATGACCCATCCAGCCCACCAGCCAACAACAATCCAGACAGCCAATCACCAAGTCAGCCTACCAGCCAGCAAGCTAGTTATCCCGCAACCCAACAAGCATGCCAGTCTGTTAACCATCCAGCCCACCAACCAGCAGATCCAGCCAGCCGATCACCAAGGCAGCCAGCCCCACCAGTCAGCCAGCAAGCTAGATAGCCCACAACCCAGCAAGCTAGCCAGTCAGCCCATCACCCATCCAACCGACCAGCCAGAAAATCCAACCAGCCCATCAGCCAGCGAGCTAGTTAGCCCACAACTCGGCAAGCCAGCCAGCCCAGCACCCATCCAGCCCACAAGCCAGCAATCCATCCCTGTAAAAATGTTATCTTAGTACCTTCCCTATCAGTGTGGGCACCTTCCCTCCCACTTCCTGTTGCTGCGACTGCTGCTGCCACATGCAATTTCACTATCGCTGAGTCCAGCAAACGGCTGCAGACCACTCATCTCGAAATCCCGATTGGTTCACTTTGTGAGCGGGGAAGCCATGGCCCGCAATTTAATTTTACATGGTCCGCAGCTACATGAGGCCTACTGCTTCGAAACAATCCTCAGACCAATTGGTCACAAATGAGGCAGCGTCGCTGAATTCTGACCAAGAACCCTGGGCTCAGGGTCATGGGATGGAGGGAGGGCTATCTGTCACCCTATCCCAGCCTTGCAGGAAACCTACATCCTGTGGCCCAAATGTGGCCCGTGACTTCATTTCACATGGCCCGTGGCCAGACAAGGCCTAAAACTTCTAAACAGCCCGCAAATTATATTTACCCATCAATGCAAGAATCTTGGCAGCACTAATCGGGTACTAGAGGCGGGGAATACTTTAAACCTGGGAACGATACTCTTTGTAATGTTAATGACATGCTCAGTCACTTGTCACTGTTGTTTGGCCCACCAAAGGTATTTAAAAGCCTTGTCCGGCCGTCAGCGAAGAAACGGATCCTCACGTCTGTTTCACTGCCTCTCCTTGACAAGAAGTGGGGTCTCGATAAGTTGATTGCTCAAAAGGTCAGTTGGCCGTTAATAACTCCTAGTCTCTTGCTCAGCATCTTCCCCCAGTTCACATAGCATGGTTGGAGTGGGCCATGGTGCTAAAAATTAAATGGGCCCCACCCTGTCCCAATTTCTCGTCCTCTTCGTAGCCCGGCCTCTCTGACCACCATGCCCCATTGCAGTCACACTGCCTGCACAATCGATAGCTATGCTGCTGTAGAGAGTGAACGCTAGGGAAGTCTTAGTTTGGCTCTACGAGCCACTTAAACGAACGCTAAACCCGAAGGGAACATTGCTTTTGTTCGATTAGCCCGGCGCCCGGTGACCCCCAGGCCGTGAGGCCCGGTGCAATTTCATTGCCTGCGCACTCGATAGCTACGCCACTGTTTCGCCACATTCCCACCACTACCAGCACCACGACTGCCACCCCCACCACCACCATGATCTCGCTGCTGCTGAGTTTTGTTGCCACGGCAGCGGGAGACTGCGGTTTTTGGGGTGCGTCTCGCGCAGAGAAAGTCGCTCGCCCACGCATCTGTTTTTTTGTGAAACACTGAGTACAGACCCAAAGGCCCACAAACGTTACTCGGCGTGCAACAAACATAATAATCAACGTTGTAATCGATAAGATTTGACACGTTTCTTGTACTGAGCAATATTTTTATTATGAGAGCTTGGGGAGGGGGGGGGAGAGACAATGGGAAAGGGAGTCCAAAGTGGAGCAGTGTGAGGGAAGAAGCAAAAAGAGAAGTGAGGTGACCTGTAGTTTGAGTGAGTGGGTGAATGAGTGAGTGTGTGAGTGACCTCCGGCGTTCGACACTTCACGTGGCCGCAGGGTGCACATAGCCTGGCACAAGCGTCGTGGTGACGTCACCGCCACTTAGCGGTGAATGGCGGTTGTTGTGTGAGTGGTTGAGTGTTTTTTTGACATGCGGGGTGTGGTGGTGGTTTGAACACAGAAATGTTGAGATAAAACAGTTGGGCAGACCGAGTTTTCAACATGGGTGAAGAAATAAACGAGTGAAATTCACGGGGACCAATAACCATGGCAGTAGCGATGACGTGCTTACCAGAATGGAAGAAGTAGAGCCGTTTATTCAAGACACAAGGTCACGATGAGGTCACGGGCAGTCGCTGGCGGTCAGTGGGTACCCGTGGCCCTGCTGTGGTATGTGTGGCAGGGAAGGTTTCATGAACTTAAATGGTTAAAAAAGTGTACTTTAGTCATAGGGTAGTAAGGAGAGGTGATGGCATGCAGGCCATTACCAGCTAAACTCAGGCGAGTCGTATAACCTGTTTTACCACAATTAAGGGAAATAAGGGTGATTAGAACTTGTCGTTTTTGAGTTGTGTCATGCTAATTAAATTAGCTTTACACGATGAAGTTGCCGAGGTGCAGTGTGGCCCTGACTTCATAAACCGATGACAAATACAACCCAAATTGACAACAACAGAACTGCCAGGCTGGTTGAAAAAAAATAACACGCCTCTGTGTGTGTGGGGAGTGGTGGCGTGGTGCTGGCCACCCACCCCCTCGTGTGCCGTGCCGGCCTTCATAGGTGCTCGCTAACATAAACTGTTCAAGGCTACACGGGGGATATTTTTCTTTGTCGTCATGGGTAGAATCGGCTGCCTTCGCTGGGTCATGAAGCCCGCATGCCCAGCCACCACTTTCCCAGCCACCGCATTCCCACGCAGCTTGTTTAGCTGGATAGAGGGTGCTAAACAGGCACGGGCTGGAGAGGAGATGGACTTATGCAGTACAGGAAGATGTGAATCTGAGTGGACTTAACTGATGAATGGTACCAGTGTTTTCAAGATTGGCCTCTGTGGAGGAAGCTTGTAAAGGACACGACTGGGCAGTTGAAGGTAGGTGGAGCGCCAGGCAGCAAAAACACAGCGAGTAGGCAAAGTAGGCGGCAGCACAGGTGGTGCATGTCAGTCATCCCAATCAGTCAACTCATGGTACCAGAGTTTGCTTCGTGACCTCGTGCCAGGTGAGCCATCAACACTTTACTTGGTCTCAAGGTACACCTAGCCTGGCACGAGCGTTCTAGTGATGTCACCGCGCCTTCGTGGCGAATGGGGGTTGTTTATCGTGTCTGTGTGTTTTAGTGTGTGATGGAACGTGTAGCGGTTAGCGCGCTGCACTATGAATCTGGCGACCCAAGTTCGATTCACTCTCACGGTCAACACCAGTGACGATTGTCTGAACCGGTCCTGGGCCTCCCCTAGGTCGACTCGGCCTCGAATTAGTAGCTAGTGTGGTGTGTAAACATGACCACTGAGGAGACAAATGTGGCCGGGCATGGTCTATGCCATGCCGGCCTTCATAGGTGCTCGCTAACAGCACTTGCCCTAAGTCTGGTCAGGCTATACGGGGGATCTTTGTCTTTAATGGAATGTGTACGTGTGCGTGGACGCTAGGTGATACGTGGTATACCCGTGACCCAGCGTGACGGAGTCGGCGTTGGTTCCTGGTGGAGATGAGCGAGTTCTGGATCTCGCTCGGATGCTGCGTGGCCGAGCAGCCTCAGCCCGTGAGTCCCGCCCCCCACCCCCCGCCACTTCATCCACCCTCCTCTTGCAGCCGTCCGCCATCACAACAACATCATCGTGCCCTCATTGTCACCATCTTCATCATCATACCGTTCATCATTACGCCAACTTTATCACGACCTCGTCATCACACAACGCGACGATTCATTTATTTAAAATCGATTCTTATGCGAGGTGGCTGCCGTGTGGCTTGGAGATCAGATACACCGAGCCGGCGTGGCCGAGCACCTGGGTTCGAATCCGGGTTACAGCCACCCCAACTGCAGCGATTGATCCGCCGCGTCCTTTAACCCCTGCGCAGACGCGAAGGAGGCGAATCGACCGGAGCATGATCGGAGAACCGACCAACTTCGTGCACACGACGCACGTCGGCTCGGGGGAGATGTTCAACGGAGGGAACAACACGAACCTGGTATGCATGTACGAGTCGCTCAAGCACGCACGTGCTGGGTAGGACCAGCATCTAATGCTCCTGGATCTCCCTCTACTCTGCGTAGTGGAGGTCACATGAAGGGATTTCAGACGTAGTTCCGAGATACCCCTTCCTCGGGCCATTCTTTAGCACGAAGAAGGGTCTCACTGCTCTGTGAGGTTTCCGAATGGATTCTTCGTCCCCTAACACGACGCTGTGATCGTGCGATTGAAAACCGCTGGGGGGACTTTCTGTTATTTTGTCTTTGAAAGTTTCCCCTCGTCCCTTGTCCTCGCTCTCAACAACCCAGGCTCCCCGTCCTCTCCCTGCTGATCACATCGTGCCAACCTCTGACCCACAGATGCAGCACCAGATGCAGTCCAAGGGGGGCTACGGGAGGAGCTTGCGGGAGTCAGGGGGGGGCGCCTCCCGACACCTGGTGGACACCACAGCCGGATGAGAGGGTGTGGGGCCGGGGTGTGGGGGGGGGTGTGGGAGAGGTGCCAAAACCAAGGTGGGTGGTGTATGCCCGTGAATGCAAGTCAAGTGTCCCTCATTCTTCGGTCCTGTAAATAGACAGTGTCTCTAGGCGCCTCGTGTCAACATCACAATGCTTTGCTTCGACCTGCTGACCACCTCGCAGCTCAATGCATGCTCTCTCAGCGGCGCTTGTCTCGACGACTCGGGCAAACGTTTTGCAATAGCAAACCGCCAGCTGCGTGCCAAGGCAGTGCCCCTCCAGTTGTGTCACAGAGTGACCTCATATGTCGTCGTGTCTCATTGCAATCGGTGGTTAATTAAAACTCTGTTTATCTCAGCAGGTCCGCGTCTTCGTGACTCCCGGGCTCGGTGTAACGTCGCAACTCGCGGGAGACGACTCTTGTTCAAGCAGCCGCCATCGCTGACGCGAGGGGTGCGGGGAAAACTTTAGCAATGTTCTCCCTTGTGGTGGGACGAGCCACATGATGCGTTAACACTTAGATGATGTTCCTGTTCCTTTTTCTGGGTCACTTGTAAAGTATAAAGAGGGCTGTGTTTGATAGGGGAGCTTTAGGAGGGGTGGGTTGGGGGGGGGGTTAGGGAGACCGACAGAATACAACGTAAAGCTCTGTTTGCGGTCCGATGCAGCGAGCACTGATGGGCGGGAGAACCCTGCGGCTCCTGAAAAAGCCTGACCCAAAAATCAAAACATCAAAACATTCCAAATCGAGACCAAATGGTGCCCTGGTGCCACCTCCAGACCATTGTTGTTGTATTTTTTTTTATACATGTAGAGTTAAACGTTTCGATATTTTAACGCCGCGATAAAGTTTCGTCAGCTCGCTAATCCACGTGCACAATTTAGAGAGGCCCAGCTGGACTGGGTAGCCACTTTTGCTCCCTGGCGGAGATTCATCGCCCCCGAACCACACGGCGGGATCGCACTTACATAGCTCGGCCTAGCTTCTCGATGCACGGTTTTGTCGCATCACAGTGGTGGCGTTAGTGACTGGGTAACTGGCTACGTTTTCCTCCACGGGTTTTTTTTTGATTGGACAGTTGTGCCACGGGTGTGGGTGTGGGCGGCTGCATTTTTGCGTCGCTTGATTTAGAGCTAGAATTAAATCATCTCGGCCCACTGCACGCCGTCGTTCCTCCGGTTGACTCGGCAGAGGTGGAGTTGCTGCTCACAGGTTTCACGGTGTCTGTCGCTTTTTTTGTTTACGACCATCTGGGTGGTGGGGGGCTGAGAAATGTAGCTTGCACAATAACAGTTTTGCATCAAAATGTTTTGCAATTATGGCACGGTAAGGGGGTGGGGGGGGGGGGTATGTCAGGCGTCGGATGAAGAAATGTGCATTGTCTTCCGCTCAATGCACCGAATGTTTTTAAGCAGACACCTGCTCTGTTCGACGGCAATGGTTTATAAATATTAAGTTACGTTAATTAAAACGGGACCACTTAAATTTAAATCTGGGTTTTGCCGAATATTGTTTATGGGAGCGTTCACTTCATGAGGATTGTGGCAGCGGCTGTCAAACGATGTTTGCGATGGGAATGATGTAACGATGGGCGCATGTACATTACGTGATGATGGTGGCCATCACACGCTTGCTAACCCTACCGATTATTAAACCTATTTTACGGCATACTGATTTTTAGAACGAATCATACTATATAGTCTTTGGGTCTTTCGGTAAAGCCACGTAGATAGAAAAATGATAATAAGAAATATCACGACGTTTCGATCGCAACACAAGTAATCGTCATCAGGTGAAAAAATATTAGCGGGAGAGCTGCGAAAGCAGGATGTTAGATAGGTTTGAGATGGGTGTAGCCCAAGAGTAAGTGGGCGGGGCTATAGAGGGAATTTTCGTGTAAATGTAAGATCGGAGAGCTGATGTACCTCCACGACTACGAAGGTGTGGAGGTGGCCATTGTATTGTGAGAGATTAGCGTGTCAACCTGTTCATGTAAGATTAGCATGCTAATGTAAGATTAGCATGCTAATGTAAGATTAGCATGTTAATGCAAGATTAGCATGTCAATGTAAGAAAACCGGGCGCCACCGAAGCTGTGGAGGTGGCCACAAACCTATATAACATCCTGCCTCAGCAGCTCTCCCTCTATATTTTTTCACCTGATGACGATTGCTTGTGTTGCGATCGAAACGTCGTGATATTTATTTTATGATTATTATATTTTTTATATATATCTGCGTGGCTTTACCGAAAGACCCAAAGAATATGAATTCCTGCAGTCACGAAAGCTTTTAAGTCAAGAATCATACCACAGTAAACATTTAGTGATTCTGTGTTAGTGGTGGTGCACAATACCACTTTGTAAACCTTTTGGTGTAAGAGTTTTGATGCAGTTTCTGCTTTCAGAAAACTTTGCGGTTAATAGGTTTGCATATTGGTGACTTATTTCTCATATTTGTGGTGTTAGCAAGTATGTTATGGTGGTGGTTATACAATGATGATGATGACCATGATGGTGATCATGATGATGACCGGTGGTGCTTACGCGTTTATGATAAGTTGAGTAGCAATTCATTGATGGTGGCCATGTTAATGATGTGAGACCACGTTCCAATTTCCTTTTGCACTGATGTCGCCCTGGAAGCTGCGCTTGCGTAAGGCTCGTTAAATTAAGGCCGTGCGCGAACGCACTCATCAACGTTCATTAAATCTATTAAACAACAAATCCCGTCTGCTTGCGTTTCGGTGGTGAATCGGCGCGACTTGCAGCCACGTAACAATGCAAACGTTTCTTGATCAAAATCGATACTTCAAATACGTGACTTGTATAATATGAAAAAGACTGTACAGTACATTTGTAGTGAATTCAACTGAGTCGCAGACGCAGTCCTTGGAGGCAACACAATTATTGATACCGACACAAAGGAGTAACTGCCCCTTCACCAGTTAACAACCTATGGTGGTGGACCACCAGGCTAACTACACTAATTACACTGGGAGTAGCTACAACGGACAGGACCCCAGCACGCTGAGCGTGGTGCCACTCAGCGCTATGACTCAGCGCTCACCGAGCCCCCTCTAGGGCCGGTACAACACCCACCTATATGGGGTGTCCGCGATGTGAGTACATCGCACACCGTGCCTCTCCAGGGCCGGCGTTGCACAATGACGTCCGCGATATAACTTCACATGCAAATGTTATATTCTTAGCTCTTTCGGTAAAGTCACGTTGAAGGGAAACAATAAAATATATATGAAACAATAAAAATTCTCACGACGTTTCGATTATAACACGTGACTTTACCGAAAGAGCTAAATATGAATTACTGCAGTCACGAAAGCTTTAAATCAAAATGCAAATGTTACTCGACTCATGGATCGAGAAAACCTGTATGAGACGCAACACAGGAGGTGAACAAACAAACTAAAGGATTTGCTTCTTTAAGTTGTGACCCCCAAATCGGGACAATTCTTCAAGTCACTGGAAGAGTAAACTGTTGCTCCCGTTTAGTAACCGGTCGCTGTGGTTAAGGTCAAGAGGTCACAACGTTGCGGACGTCACCACCACACCTCGCGGTCGCTTCTCCGGTGGTTGTGTTCAGTGTCTTACTTCCCCACCCAATTTCCCTAAGAGGATGTCAAATCGAACTCTGCCACGTGGAGTGAGACCCGGTAACGGCTATGCCTTGACCCTATTAAGAGAATGCCTTCATCATCATACGTGAATAAAATGCCTTAAGTGCATTGAGTTTTGACTGATGTATATTCCTGACGTGGCTTGGGAATTACTCCAGACTTGCTTCGCACGTGGGACATACTTCTCAAGTTGTACAGTTCCAGTCCTGAAATAAAGTTCAGCACAGCAATACCCCTAGCAGATCTCGGTGCAAATCAATTCCTGCCATCCAAACACCGATGCCAATTCCAGGACTGTCCGGGTCAAGGCAGATGAGTGGCGACCCTGCTCCCACCTCGCAATTTGATTGCTACTATTCAGGGATCACTCTAATGCAAGTGTTCTTCACTATTTTCCAGGGGGGGTTGAGCATTTTCTCCGATGAGACATCAAAGTGAGGCACGCCACACATTTGAGACCATTGGGGTTGACAGCATGATGATGATGGGGGTGTTTTCACTATTTCACTATTTGTGTATTGTGTAGGACCGTACGTCAGGGGCTGCACTAAGGTCCGCCAGTGTCCCGCGGGCCTTGCAATGAAGAACACTGCTCTCGTGAATGCAATAATCGAGTATTTTTGTTCTGTTTTGTGATACATTTCCATTTATTCCTTTACCTGGGAAAGCCTCGCTGAGGTTCAAGGCAATTCCAGGAGAGTGATTCTACATTGGGAAGTTTGGCAAATTCCATGAAGTACAGTTGTGTACTGTGTTCAGCTTCGTATGGGAAGAGACCCGAGAGCCAGCAGAAACCCGACGCCTAAGAAGGGGAAGCACAGTCCCGCACAGATAGATTCAATAATCCATTGCCTATACTGCAATCTCCTGTCTGCTTTCCATCCAAATCAAGATAAGATTATTTTATTTCACAAGGTGAGGCCACGGTAATCTCGTTTGCAAGAGTCAATTGGGTAACAGAGATTACAGAAGACAAAAAAAACCAGCTGCGCCTCCTAGATCTGATGCGGTTACGCAACTTGTCTGTGGTCTTGTGGCAAGCGACCCCCTGTGACCTCACCTTGACCCCAGCATTGTGCATGGTAGCCATCTTGGCCTCACCCTGACCAAGATGGCGGCGGCCACTGCCCACCCCCCTTCCCTAACCAAGATAACGGCTCTGCGTCACGCTCCAGCAGTGACATCACAGCCGCCATGGCGGCTCGGCTACTCTCGCCGCTGGTGGTGTCGCTGCTGTTGCTGGTGGCGTTTGGCGGCATCAAGGTACCCGCGACGCGTCGTCCCGCGCGGGGAAACGCGAGCCGAGCACGCGGAGCGTGGCCGTAAGGTGCCCGGGGATTCCGCGAGGACGACCGGCGGCTTCTCACTGCCTCCCAATCCCGAGGGACCCCGTGGTGCTACATTCCCTGCGGGGCTCGGGGTGGGGTCGGGCGGCTACGGCGGCGGACGAAGCCGAGGCTTTCGCACAGGCCCCGTGAAAAGAGTTAGGCCGCAGCCGTCAAGGGGCGTCCCGTTATTCGATTTAACGATTCCTAAAAACTCGACGCAATTACTCTTGCGCGGATAAAGAAAACAAGATCGTCAAACAAACGCTCTTCAATCGGTGCTTCTATGTAGCGCCGTCCCTCACTGGCTGTGCTCATGCTGCACCTTGTACATTTTACACGGATTCGCAAAAGGTCGAGATGGGTCGTTGGAAGCAGAGCGCAGAAAGTCGAAGGGAGTCGAATCGCCGAAGGGAGTCGAAACGCCGAGGGGAGTCGAATCGCCGAGGGGGTCGGGCCCTGACAGCCAACCCGTTTCCCCGGTAACAGATCGAGTCATTTGGGGGGGGGTTTATTTACAGATAACAACAATTAATGCACACCCAGTGCGGCCCTCAATGTCGTTCTAACAGCAGCATCGGCAAATATTCGTGGAACCGTCCGTGTTTACGTAACGGCCCTTTTGAAAGTCCACAGCTGGACGAGAGGGCATCCCCCACGCCTATACGGGTCTTGAGGGTCGTTTGACCATACTTCACCACGCTGGTCATTGCATGTGGGTGGAAATCGAGCACAGACGTGGGAGCACAAACGTACGGTGGAACATTGGACTGTGGCTGCACAGCCGACACCTGACAACGCAACCACCGAATGCAATATGAACACACAAAGTGCCAACCTGTACATTAATACAATGTATACGATCAGTAAACACGAGCGCATCCTTGACTAACAAGTTGCAGACCTTTGTCGATACAATGCTTATTGAACCCCCTCACCCTAACGCCGTGTCGATCATGGGGGTTGTTTTGCCATACTTCACCACGCTGGTCAGTGCTGGTTTAGTGAAGGGGTGTTCCCAGGATCGTTTCAGACATCACTATCCATGAGCCCAATTGTAATGCAGTAATGGTAACAACATCTTCTAGCATTAAAACCGCAATCGTAAACGCGTTCTTCTCGACTGTAAGCGGCCGTGACCGGACGTAGTCGTGACTTTAGCAATGCGAGACAACGCTGGCCGGAGCGATGAGAGCGAGGTTAGGGCTAGGACTCGTCGCAGGGACCAGTGCCTATTGGTCGATGCCGGGCTCGCTCCACGTGAGACATCGGCCGTTCGGGCGACCTCGATCCATAAAGTTCATCCGGCGCGTGGTGGCGCACGCGCGCAACCCAGCGCCCTCTGTGGTCGAGGATTGGTGAGTTCAGGACAAGGCGCTTCAAAATGTCAAGCGTCTGCGTCTGGGTGGCATGATGTGATTTGTACCGGGAGCTGATGGCATTGCGATGAACTGTATTGCAATAGAGTGCACAGTTCTTGATATACCTATCATTTTGATTTAAAGCTTTCGTGACTGCAGGGATTCATATACTTGGTTCTTTCGGTAAAGTCACGTAGAAGGGAAACAATAAAATAATAAAAATATAAAACAATCATCATTAGGTGTGAAAACCACAGCAAGAAATTTTTAAAAAAGTGGCGGTTTTTATTTTATATTTTTAACGCTAGCACCACGGAGAGCGATTTGGCAGTTATTCAGATGGACGAGTCCATCTATGTTCGAAAAATAAAAACATAAAATTGCCACTTTTTTCAAATTTTCTTGCTGTGGTTTTCACACCTGATGATGATTGCTTGTGTTGTAGTCGAAACGTCGTGATAATTTTTTATTGTTTTATATTTTCATTATTTTATTGTTTCCCTTCTACGTGACTTTACCGAAAGAACCAAGAATATATATACCTATCATTTTCTGAGAAATATGCCCTGGTGGCAACCCTAATCCAACCACTCATCCACTCGGTCATCCACCCTCCCTAAGAGTGCCAACTGGGATTGGCCCAGGTGTTCGGGTAGCAGGAATTTATTTGCACCATCGTGTACATGTTCCACGTGATGTCAACTCGTGCATCTTGGACCGTATAACATCACGAGGGTAAACGCGTGTTGTAAAATGTTACAAAATCCATGCATTTATATTTTTAGTTCTCATTTTAGTTACATCTACAATTAAGGCTCACTTAATGGACTGGCTTTTTGGATTGTTTTACGGAGTGCAGTGGTTGTGTGTGGAGCAATAGTGCAGTACTTAGTGCACTGTGCTACAACCCGCGTTAGAGTCCCGATGATCAACATCAGGGACGAATATCTGAGCCGGTTCTGGGCCTCCCTTATGTATGTATGTTGAACTTATTTCGCACCGTACATAGCCAATCGTGATCATTGGAATAAAGATCTCCAATGTGGAGAGAAAGGCGGGAGGGGATTGTTCTATGCACACCACCCCCTCATGCGCCATACCGGCTTTCATTGTTGCTCGCTAATACTGGTTGTGTGGTTGTGCAGGTGTGTGCAGAAATGGCTCTGTTGCGGTTGGTATCAGACTCACACACGTACTGCACACTCTACAACCCCCGCTGGGCCGAGCTGCCCCAAGACCCCACAAAGGCCGTGAGTTCTTCTAAACTATTAAAGCCAAACTATTTTTTTTTACCAAGTAAGGCCCACTGGACTATTCAGGTATTTTTCAGAAGCGACCTGGACACATTATAGCTCAACGAAGTGGCTTATCATGTAGAAATTTATAGCAGCCAAATACTCTAAACACGTTTCTAAATTTGGAGGAAAAAACCAGAGGACCCGGAGGAAAAAACAAGTGACCACGGGGAGAACACTCAAACTCTACATATACAGGTGTCAGGGTCGGGATCGAACCCATTACCTCTTGTATACTAAGCGAGGTAGTTAACATCTCGTCACTGGACCCTGGCTTGAACCCAGTCACGCTAAATTTCACAGGAGGTGCTCGCATCACTCACTCATGAATCCATCACCAACCTTTCGTTTTGCTCAGAAAACCGTCACTCACATCAGAATCCCCTCATTAACTCCACCAACCTCTCTCAATAGCCCTAACAACGTCTCTCAACAACCCCACCAACCTCTCATTAACCTAACCAAATTCTCACTATCCCCATCAACCCCTCGCCCAACCAACCTCTCTCTAACCTCACTAACCTCTCACAAACCCCATCAACATCTCATTAACCCCACCAACATCTTACTAACCTCCTCCCCCTCTGAACTCACTATGGCGACTGCTCGTGCTGGTGCCTCCTCCCCCTTTGTCCTGACAGACACCGCACCAGCTGGCTGACGGCGCTCCGACGCCGCTGTGCCTCCCCGGTGACGTGCCGCCCGGCGGCTTCGCCGGTGCCGTGGCGTTGGCGACGCGCGGGAACTGCTCATTTTATCACAAGGCGCGGCTAGCAGCCGTGCACGGCGCATCCGCGCTACTGGTGCTGAGCCACAGGCCGCTGGTGTGTGCCCGCGTTCCTCACCACTGCCCCGACCCTCTTTGTGGTGCCTCGATCACGCACAAAAACCAGCTGAACCCTGCTGTGGGGGTAAAGCCACCGAATGCCCCAGTTTGGATGGGACAGTCCCGGTGGGTTCATAATGGTCATCCCGGTATTGCCCCGAAGCCGAGACTGTACAAATGGAACAAAACATAATTAATACCGAAATCCAATAGCGATATACAATTGTAACAATTGAAAGTTCATAGACTCACGCACTCTCTCCTGTCGGATGCCCGATTCCAGTCAGTGTCTGTAAATCATCACTCATTTAATCGTAGAGAAGGGTAAATATTTCCACAGCCCGGTGTTGTTGTGGTCATGGTTCACGGGATGTTCACAGAGCCCTGTGCCCCACCCCCCGTCTGTGCGTGCAGGTGTCCCCCGGTGGTAACGAGACGGAGTACGAGGAGGTGGCGATCCCCGTGGCGCTCATGGGAGAGGAAGACGCTCGTCACATGCTCCAGGTGTGGATCGTCATCATCATCAGCCATTGTCTATCCACTGCGGGATGAAGGCCTCCAAACGCCCTCCATATCCCGCACAGTCCAGTGCTGCTGCTCCTGCACGTGACCTGGATCTCATCACTCCATATCCACATAGATCATCCTCTTGGACGTATTCCCCCCCTTGTCTACCATTCCATCACCATTCTGGCCTATAAGCCATTATCCTGTCTTGTCCAAGTCCATTTACTCTTCCCAATTGTGGATATGGTGTCTCTTTTTTCCATGTGTTCCTGTTTATTTCAGTGTAATTCTTTAGGTACTCGCCGGCAGCACTTGCACTAGCAGCACGATCAGGCTATAGGAGTTGGGGGAGTGGGGATCTTTGTGTGTTGCACGCTACATGCTGTGCGTTGTTTCGGGCAGGCTCAGCGCGACGGCGAGCAACAGGTGCTCCTGTTCGCCCCGCGCGAGTCGCGCCTCGACTACAACATGATGCTGATCTACGTGATGGCGGTGGGGACCGTGGCCGGCGCCAGCTACTGGGCCGGAGTCTCCGAGATGCACACGTGAGTTCACATGCGCAGCTCACACCGCGGTGATGCTGGCGGTGATGACGATGGTGGTGATGGCGGTGATGATGATGGCGGTGGTTTTGGTGGTGGTGATGATGGCGATGGTGGTGGTGGTGGTAGTGATGGTGATGGCAGTGGTCGTGGTGGCGGTGATAATGGTGGTGGTGGCAGTGACGGTGATGATGGTGGTGGTGATGGTGGTCGCGGTGATGATGATGATGATGGCGATGGTGGTGGCTGTGATGGTGATGGCAGTGGTCGTGGTGGCGGTGATAATGGTGGTGGTGGCAGTGACTGTGATGATGGTGGTGGTGATGGTGGTCGCGGTGATGATGATGATGATGGCGATGGCTGTGATGGTGGTGGCGGTGATGATGATGGCGGTAGTGATCGCGATGGCAGTGGTGATAACGATGGTGGTGGCGGTTGTGCATTTCCCCCAGCAGCAGCAGTAGCGGCGTGCCGACGAGCGGCGTCGGCGGCATAGGAGGAGCCGCCCCGGCCAGCGAGGACATCTCACCCAAGATGGTGGCTTTGTTCGTGGCGACCTCCACCATCATGCTCACCATGCTCTACTTCTTCTACGACTATCTGGGTGTGCAGGCACCCACGCACGCGACCACACACAGACAAAGAGCTACCGTGTAGCCCACACGGGCTGATGGGGCAAGTGCTGTTTGGGAGCACCAATGAAGGCCGACACAGCACACGAGGGATGGTTTGCCCAGCCACCATCTTTTCCCCAGTATTGATGTTTACACACCACATCATCACTCAGTTTACGGCTGAGTCGATCTACGGGAGGTCCAGGAACAGTTGAGATAATCGCCACTGGTGTTGGTCATGAACGGGAATCGAATTCAGGTTTGCCGGGTTCATAACACAGTGGGCTAACCACTGTGCTACATACCCATAAAAGACAAAGCCTCACCAGACTGTTGGGGCAAGTGTTGTTAGTGAGCACCTATGAAGGCCTGCACGACATCCGAGGAGATGGGTGGCTAACACCACGCCCGGCAGCCTTTGTCTCCCCAGTGGCGATGTTTACACCGCATCAGGTACTCATTTGAGGCTGCTGAGTCGACCTAGGGGAGGCCCAGGACCAGTATAGAAAATCGTCACTGGTGTCAGCCTTGAGCGATAATCGAACCCACCCACACTCACACCCGTGTCTGCATAACCATCCACATTCTTATAGATGGCATACAACAATGCCTGCACGCTCACCTGCACATGCATCTCCAAACCTCAGTTCTATACACTCACCCACTGTGCACTCACCCACACAATCTCCCATGCACACCCCCTCGGGGAACTCACCTATGGTGTTTGTCACAAAGTGACGAGTTGGTGTGTACGCCAAGCCAGCGCACCTCAGTCAATCTACGGGAGGCCCATGACTGGTTCAAATAATCGCCGTCACTGTTATCAGCTGTGAGCGGGAATCGAACTTGGGTCGCCAGGTTCGTAGGGCAGTGTGCTAACCCCTGCAGCTACTATACAACGACAAAGATCCCCTGTGTAGCCGTGACAGACTGTTGGGGCAACTGATCCACACACCTAACAACAACCGCCATTCGCCACTAAGTAGCGGTGACGTCACCACAACGCTTGTGCCAGGCCACCTCCTAATGCACCAAAAGTGACACACACCCTAACACACACACACCCTAACACACACCCAAACACACACCCAAAGTGACACACACACACACCCATGCACATTAATGCACAATAAGAATCAGAATCCGTATTTATCCTGGAGGAATCCGATGAGGTATGAAGCTCTTTTTCACAGATGCCCACTACCCTTGCAATGCCTGCTGGTAAATAGAGAGCACGTGACGATTTGGAAATTAAAATCGATCGGTACGCTCGCACGTATGCGCGTTGAATCGTGTGGGCACTAAAGCGATGCTTGTAATTCCTCGTGTCTGTGTGTCCCCGTGGATCCCCGTGCAACCCTGTGTGTACGGGCCCAGTCTACGTGATCATCGCTGTGTTCTGCCTCGCCTCCTCGCTGGGTCTCTACAGCTGCCTCGCTCCTCTCGTCTCCCGCTCTCCGTGCGGCAGTTGCAGGTGCATGTGCCTCTACCTGTGTGTGTGTATCCCTACCCGTGTGTAATCCTACCTGTGTGTGTACCCCTACCCCTGTGTATTCCTACCTGTGTGTGTACCCCTGCCCGTGTACTCTCTTCCACCTTTCTGTATTCCCCGAGCTGCGCGTTGACATACCACTGCACGCCACATACACGGGCACGCACACGCACAATGCAGACACACGTAACCCCCCCCGGCCTCCCCCCTGTTCTTACCCCCCCTCATTCCAACCCCTCCCTGCTCCCCACTCTCCCCGGCTGCAGGGTTCCCCGTGCCCTTGCCCCATGCATGCAGGAGCCGCCCCCGGTGCGACTGGCGGTCCTTGCGGTGTCCTGTGTGGCCACGGCCGTCGTGTGGGCCGTCTTCCGCAACGAGGACAGGTGACGCCGCCGCGGCCACCCCCGCGCCACCGCTGGTGCTTTTTCTCGGCCGCTCGTGAAGCCGGCCGTGGTGCAGGCCGCACCGCCCCCTCGCTCGCCGTGTCCGGGAGCGTTCGTAAGAGCTCGCCTGACACCCCTTGACCCGGTCAGCTGGCTCGGCTGTAGAGCGAGCGGCTCTCAGAAGGTTGCGCGATCATCTTTCGGTTGTGAGGTTGACTCAGCCCATCATCCCTCCGGGGTCGATAACATGAGTACCATTTTGTGGGGAACTCGGTAGTGGTTGGTCCTGTGGATTAGATTCACCAATAGGAATGTGTGGACCTTACACCACTGGCTCAGGGCCACCGAGGCATTGATGGGCATCAATGGGGAGCAGTAATGTAGCGGTCAGCGCGCTGCGCTAGGAACCTTGCCAGTGACGATTATCTGAACCGGTCTTGGGCCTCCGCTAGGTCGACTCAGCCTCAAATGAGTTCCTAGTGCTGTGTGTAAACTTCACCACTACGGAGACAAAGGCGGCCGGGCGTGGTGCTGGCCACCCACCCCCTCGTGTGCCGTGCCGGCTTTCATAGGTGCTCGCTAAAAGCATTTGACCCTACAGTCTGTTAAATGCTACACGTGGGCTCTTTGTTTTGTGTGTGGTGCCAGCTGGGCGTGGGTGCTCCAGGACATGCTGGGCATCGCGTTCTGCACCTACATGCTGCGGGTGCTGCGCATGCCCAGCTTCAAGGTGCCGCTGGCGCCACCACCCTCCAGCCTCACCAGCTGCACCGCCAATGCCACAGTCAACCAACACCACCGCCACCACTGTCATCTCCACCGCTACCATCGCCAACCAATTCCCTCATGTGCCGTGCCGTCCCTCATAGGTGCTCGCTAATGGCACTTACCCCAACAGCCTGTTAATGGCTATACGGGGGATCTTTATCTTTGTGTTGTGTTGCATTGCAGGCGTGCACCCTGCTGTTGGTCATGCTGTTTGTGTACGACATCTTCTTTGTGTTCATCACGCCGTACATCATGCCGGTGAGCACATGCGCGCGTGCGTGTTTCGCGTGCGTGGGAAAACCCGGGGCCGGCTTACGGTGCCACCGGGGTTCAATGTGAGCTCGGGCCTGATTATCTCAGCTGGTGAGGAGGCCCCACTGAGCTAGGCAGCTCCATTATGAGGACGGCCACAGCCCAAGACCGTCTGGCAGTGGTGGCAGTTACAGGACACCGCCGGGTGGGAATGTGCAAACTAACGTATGTATGTTGAACTTCTTTCGCACCGTACGTAGCCAACCGTGATAATCAGAGGTGCGGGGGAAGGACAACAAACGATACACAAACATCTCTTCTAAGGAAATTTCAATTTTATCAACAAATTACTTATACGGAACCCACTCCAAAACTCAAACAGGATAAACAACAAACAGTGACTTAAACAGCAAAAACATGATCAATAGCTCCTGTCACAGATACTTAAGTACAATAAACTGTGTACTTGGCCTCAGCCGGAGCAGAGCTTAGCTATATCATTAATAGCAATTTGGCAGAGGTGATCCTGCAGCATGACTTTAACACAGCATAGCTTAGAGAAGGTACATGTGGAATATTAAGCTTGGTTATGAGGACGTTACCAATCTTAACCGAGACGCAGGCAGAGAGAAATACGAGTAGGCATCTCGCGAATATAAAAGCAGGTACAACGGTGAGTGGTACAACAGTTACAAAACAGCGTCTCAATTCCAAAATAAAACCGTACAATTATACGCTATATCGGTTCAACAGTTGAATATGTTAACATGGCTCGATAAATAAATAAAATAGCCGATTAAGTGCAACCGTTGACATTCAGTTCATCCAAGAGTTGTAGGGAAATGAGTGAGGGGGGTGGTAGGCAAACGCCTGGGCAAGTGGTTGAGTGAATATGGAGGTGATTGGATGACTGAGTGAGTGGGCGAGTGACTAAGTGGGTTAGTGTGTGAGCGAGTTAGTGGGTGTGGGAGTTATTCGGGTCAGTGAGTACATGAGCGGTGAGTGAGGAGGTGTGAGCGAACAGGTGCATGTGTGTTGGTACAATAACGAAAACCCATAGTACCCGGTTCTTTCCTGTGACCTTCCTGCAGCAAGACCTCCACTTCACCTGATAGCCTCAAAGTGCACCTAGCCTGGCATACGCACCGTGGTAACATCACTGCCATGGTGAATGGCTAATGATGTTGTGTTTTTACCAGAATGGACAAAGTATCATGGTGGAGGTTGCTTCTGGCCCATCTGATTCGTCATCAAAGGAAAAGGTAATCGCTGGTAATTATCGTCCTCATCATCACGTGGTCTCAGCTGTTCGTGAGCGCAATGGGAGCGTTGCGTTGCTCTTGGTATCTAAGTGGGTTAGCCTCGCCTCTTCATTGATCATCAGCCAGGCGTCACACAACACAGGAGTAGTAAACGTCGTGTCTGGTCACCTGTGTACCTACGTCCATGTGTATGCGCATGGTAAATGCATGTATACGTACGTGGGTGTGTCTGCATGTATATGTTCGTGTGGGGAGCGGTAGCGTCGTGGTTAGTGCGCTGTGCTCTAAAACCGGCGAACCGAGTTCGATGCGTGGAAGTAGTTTTATTTACTTGTTTAATTTTCGATTCCCGCTCACTAACAATAACAGTGACAACGAATATCTCAAGAGGGCTTGGGCCTCCCCTATGTTGACTTAGCCTTATAATTAACACCTGGTAAAGTGCGTAAAACCACTAGGGAGACAAAGGCGGCTAAGAGTACTGCTGGCCACCACCCTCCCGTGCACCAACATTCTGTTAAGGTTAAACGGTGTCTTTGTGTGTTTGCAGCTGCCCATGGTGCTGAAGGTACCACGCTTGGCACCCTCAGAGCTGTCCGTCTGCTCGCAGCCCTTCTCGCTGCTCGGCTTCGGGGACATCCTGGTGCCAGGTTTGGTGCACACGGCGCTTGCAGTCGGGCAAGAGAAGCGCCGGCAACAAACAACGTCACCCCCTGTGCTGTCCGCAGCGTGACACGTAGAGCGTTTACTTGTGTTTGTAGCGTGTCTGCATGTGTGTCGTGTGTCTGTAGTGAATGCGTGTTGTGTGTTGTGAATGTGTGGTGTGTGTGTGGTGTGTCCTTGTTTAATGCGTGGAGTGGTGTGTGTGTGTGGTGAATGCGTGTTGTGTGTGGTGAATTCGTGGGGTGTGTGTAGTGTGTCTGTAGTGTGTTTTTGTGGTATATGTATGGTGTGTGTGTGTGGTAAATGCGTAGCAGTGTATGTGTTGTGTGTGGAGTGTACGGTGCATGTGGTGTGGTGTGTGGGGAGCAGTGGCGCTGTGGATGGTGCACTGTGCTATAAAGCTGACGACCTCATTTCGATTCCCGCTCACGATCAATAACAGTGGCGACGAATATTTGAACCGGTTCTGGGACTCCCCGAGGTCGATTCAGCTTCAAATGAGTACCTGCTGCGGTGTGAAAACATCAGCACCGGTGAGACAAAGGCGGCCGGGCATGGTGTTGGTGACACACTCTTGTGTGTGCCACGCCTGCCTTCACATCGGTGTTCACCAACATCACTTGCCCCAAACAGCCTGTTGAAGGCTACACGGGGGATCTTTGTGTGCGCCTGTGCTGCAGGTGTGCTCGTCGTGTACTGCCACCGGTTTGATGTACACACCAACTCGTCGCACATCTACTTTGTGACAAGCACCATAGGTGAGCTCCCCGAGGGGGTGTGCATGGGAGGGATTGTGTGTGTTGAGCGCAGTGGGTGAGTGCACAGGAGGGGGTGTGTGAGTGCAGTGGGTGAGTGTATAGGAGATTTGCAGATGCATGTGCGGGTGAGCGTGCAAGCATCACTGCATGCGGTCTGTACGTATGGAGATGGGTATGCAGATATGGGTGTAAATGTACGTGTTGGTATTTAACACAGTGGCTAGTGCAACTGCACTGCACTAACCACTACCCAAGTTGGATTCTCACGGCCAATAATTGGCAAATATTCGAACTAATCCTGCGCCTCCCCTAGGTGAGCTTGGCCTTAAACGAGTTCCTGGTCCAGTGTGTGAACATAGACAAAGGTGGCCAGGCGAGGTATTGGCCACCCACACCCTCGTGTGCTGTGGTGGACATCGGTGCTCGCTAACACCACTTGCCCCAAATCTGTATGGCTATATGACAGAAAATGGAATGTTATCAGGTTCATGTGTAGTTGAGCATCCTGGCAGATTTGCCTGGAGTCTCCTAAGCATGTGGACAGTTATGTAGGTATGGGTGTGGGTGTGTGTGGGTATGTGCGTGAATGGCTATGCGGGTTGGTGGGTGTGCATACCCCGGCATGAGGAAGAACCGCAGATGAGCAGGAAGGCAGCCACGCGATAAGCCGGTGCCACCAATTGCCCAAGCTCCGCAGGTCTTCGATGTCATAAGGTATTATCAGCCAATTAATGAGCGTTAACGCATGTCGGAGGAAACCAGGGCATCCGAAGAAAACCTGTGCGGTAGGGGGAAACACTCGATTCAGTTGTCGACATTGATGCCGGTGCTTGCGGTGCACGCATCGCAACGCGCGTCTTGTCATCATCGCTTATTGACGATGCGCGCTCCACTCGATGCACGCGCTGAGAAGCGAGCGCGGTGCGTGGGCCGAGCCAACGGCGTTGCCAAACCGAGACGGCAAATTAGGCACGCGACGTGAGGCGACGAGAACGCCACAACACCAGGTCACGACCGTGGATCATGAGAATGTGTCGAATCTCGGGGGGGGGGGGGTTGGATTGAATTGGTAAGTGCCCAGTGCCCACACGTGTCTCAACCCGTTTTTGGGCTGACTCCTGCCCACCCTGACCTCCGTGACCCACCAGCATACGGCTTGGGGCTACTGGTGACATTCGTGGCGCTGGTGCTGACACGGATGGGGCAACCGGCGCTGCTCTACCTGGTGCCGTGCACGGTGCTCACCTGCACCGCCGTGGCCGCTGGGAAGAGGCAGCTGCCGGCGTTCTGGAGGGGAAGCATCGTGCGTGTGAGTCCACGTCATCTTCATTGCCATCAATACCATCATCAGTTCATGGGCCAGCATTGTCAATCTTAACTTCACAACCAAAATCATCACCACCATCAGCTCCTGTACTGGCATTATTAATGTTAACGTCGCCACAATGACATTCACCATTATCGCTCGCAGGATCATCAACCATCACTGCCGTCTCACCTCCCGTGACTGCCGGAGTCTCACGGCACCCGTGTTCGACCCCTTCTGCTCCCCTTGCCCGCAGAAAGAGTCGCTCGACCTCGCCGACGGCGAGGATACGAGCCGCCTCGGCCTGGGCGCGGCCCGGGACGATGTGGAAGGAGCGGCTGTGCCCAACCGCAACCCGGAGGCCCCCACGGCCTCTGCCAACCCGGAGGCGTGATGGCGGGCAGGCGGCCGGCACGCCACTCCACTCCAATGAATTCCATGGGTGCGTGTAGGGAGTGGTAGTGCAGGGAGTGGTAGTGCAGGGAGTGGTAGTGCAGCAACTGGCGCACTGCGCTGCGAACTCGGCGAACGAGTTCAATTCCCACTCGTGGCCAACACCAGAACCGGTTCTGGGCCTCCCCTAGGTCGACTCGGCCTTCGTTGAGTATCTAATGCAGTGTGTAAGCATCACCAGTTGGGGGGGGGGAAGACAAAACAAAACAGTTGGGCATGGTGCTGGCCAACCACCCCCTAGTGTCTGTCGTGTTGGGCTTTCGTAGGTGCTCAACAGCACTTGCCCCAAGTCTGTTAAGGAGAAGTGAGGGATCTTTGTTGTATGTGTACGGGCGCCGTTGGGAATTTGGTGAGCGGCACTTGCGAGGCAGAAGAGCCGCTGTAGTACCACCCGCTGTGGAGCTTGGGAGCGGACAACCGTGGTGTGGACGAGTGGATGTCTGAGCAGTAGCATGAGCAGCAGCATTCTCTCCGTGTAAATTATCGTGTATTGTATTGCGATGGATGCGTTGTGAATAGACGACTAGAGCACAGATATGAGGAAGTCTTGTGTTGTCGCTTGTTCTTGGTATGAGTATCCACACGGTCACTTCCGCAGGCAAGGGATTACAACACGCCTATCGTGACGGAACAGAAGCGTGGCCCCCCGGGGGGTGGGGGTCTGGCGTTTGTGACCGTGGCGCAAGAGAGGAGCACCCCATACTCATGGCATGAGACCCCCCCCCCTACCACGCATTTGTACGTGCCTGAGTCACACGTGCACGTCAACAAACACATTAACGCGCGTGCGGCTTTCAAATGTGACGCAGTCACCCTCCCATTAACAGTCGTGTGGGGTAGAGTTAGGCATGGGGAGGGAAGGCGAGACGGTGAGACGAGACACTGCACAATAATGAAGACATAAGTCGTAAGACATTGGAGACGGTGGCACACTAAGACAAACGAACACGAAAGGACAAGAGGCACAGTGAGGCAACACCGAGTTCGTGGCGCGGTCCGCGACACAAGCAGGAACACCGGCACTTAAACGGAGAGGGACAGCGAGAGACGGCCCAAGCCGCCGAGCACAACAGGCGACGCGGACTCGCTCCACGCTGCTGCTGGCATAGAAGCGCAACCCTGACTGCACCGCCGTGGCACATAATTTCTTTATTCTAGAAGGCAAATGTACAAAAAAAAGCTTAAATTAAATACAATTGCAAGTTCATATTAAGTGATATTGGAAAGAGGTGAACACATCGAGAGCGACGCTTTTAAAATCGTACCCACGAGGGGCGACGCCCGCTTGCCCAGCAGTGAGCGGCAGAGGCAAGCGGAAGTGGAGGCCTGGTGTCCGTGGCTACCGATGGCACTTACAAGATGAAGGTTTGGGTACAGTTGGTGATTGTCGGTTGATGAACTGTGGATTGGGCAAGGTTTATGTGGTTCGCGGTAGGGCTAGGGTTATGGTTAAGCGTGATAGTTGGTTTGTTTATGTTTAGACAGAGCTTGCTCCGTTTTGTTGGTAAGGCGGGTTGAGAGCTCGGACTATGCTCCGATTGGCCAGCGCGCTTCGCGTTCATGCTCCCACCAGCATCGCCTGGGATCTCTCCACTTTCACCTCGCTCGTCACTGTCGGGGGAAGTGGGGGGGGTGACGCCTCCTCCTATAAACATCAAACACCGCCACAGCCCCAGTGGGACTGGCCGCACAAGGAGACGGACACGGGGGGGGGGGGGGGGGGGGTCTCCGGACCACCGCTCTACCAATCCCTCTTGCAATCGCTGGGCGTGCGTTTCAGCCGTGGGACTCTCACATCTCAATCCAGAGGAGGGGGCGTCTCTGCCTCGTTCATTACGGAGCCGGGTCCGGGTTCAAGAGGTTGTGGTTAAGAGGCACAGGGTCAAAAGTACGGCCATATTCATGACCCGGCTCAGCCCCATGAGGGCAAAGATATGAGGCTCAGCCTCCTCATGAATTCACAGCCGAGCTCGATGAATTGGTGTGTTTGTATGCGCATGAATCAATGTGCATGCGAGTGTCAGCTGGCTGTGTACAGGAGCGTATGTGTGTGCCAGTAGGAGTGTTGGCAGGAGTGCCTGTGTCAGTTTGTAGCAGTGTCCAGATGGGTGTGTGACTGTACGAGTTTGAGTCTGTGTGCAAGTCCGTGCGCACAATTCGGAGTGAGTCCGTGTGAGTGAACCATGAGTGTGTGCAAGTGAGTCTGAGTGAGTCCCTGCACGTGTGAGTAAACATGTGTCCGCGTGAGAGTCGGAGTGAGTCCATATGGAGTTTGAGTGGACGTGAATGAGTGCGTGCGTCCCCACACACGAGCACCGTCACGAAGTGCGAACGCCAGGCTTGGCCCAACACGGACGCCGCTCAAACACGGACAGAGGGATTGGGGCTCGGTCCCTCACAGACCCAGCACAGTGGCCAACGCTCCCCACCGGTGCCCCACACACACAACAACACTTTTGCACCGTATTTGAGTTGCCGGTGCGAGATAGCAATGTAGACCCCAGAGATCGGAACCTCTGGCATTCAGAAGGTTACGAGTTCCAGTTGGGGGTTGACCCAGCCCATCGTCATCCCCTCTGGGATCAATAAAAATACCATATTGTGGGGAAATTAACAGTGGCTGTCTTATGGGGGGCAGACACGCCCCGCCATAGGAATGGAGAATTTCCACCACTTGGTCAGGACTGCAAGCATGAGATGAGGACCAGTAACTCAATGCTCATTTGAGCAGGAAAACACTTTTGACTCTCAGAATACCAAGCACAGCCATTGAACCCCCAAAGAACAAGCCCTTACAGCAATACGACTCCACCCGTAGAAAATGACCAAAACACGACATATGTATGGACGGCCAGGGTGCAAATACTGTTATAGAGCAATAGGACCCCCCAACAACCCACCACCCCAGCCTGGAGTGAGACTACCCCCAGAGTTCGTGTCGAAGCGCCTGCCCATGGTTCACGCGCTGCCCCACGTGGCGTCGTCTGTGTCAAGGTGCAGGACTAAGGAGGAGAGACACTCCCATGGCAGGTAGGGATCTGAACAAGAAGGACCCAGAGACTGGCATGGGGTTGTGGAGAGGGTGTTAACCACAGGGAGAGAGAGGTATTCAAATAATCTGTAGAATTCTAACCCCCGGGATGAATAACTCTACGGTGGAGGCGGGTCAAAATACGATGTCACAGCAGCGGCACTGGCGGAAATCTTTAACGCGGGCAACCGATTCCAACGGAGGCTGGCGGGAAACTCCACGTGCAACCTGCCGAGGCCACGCATCGCCGAAGGCGTCATCGGCGTACATTTAAAAAAAAAACAATGGCACAAATCGCCAACCGCCTTCCCCTGCGGTCACGCCGCCTGCGAACGAACGCCCAAGGCTCCAGGCCGAGCTCCACGGAGGGCGGCGCAGGAGGGGAGAGGGCGGCAAGCGGGAAGGTACGGAAGGAGCCTAGTGCGTGCGTGCGCGCGTGGGAGGAACGTAAAGGAGATGTGCTGCAGCAGCATCCCCTCGGATGAACGCACGTGGCATGCCGTGTCTCGCCACTCGAGGGAGACGCTAGAGAGCCACCCGGCAGGGTCGCTCGCGACGTCCCTCGTGCGCGCGGCTGCGGTTACGCAAATCTTAAGAGTTTAGGTCCTGCACCTTGGCAGTGTTACGCTGCTCGAATAATAACGATAAAAAATATATATAACAACGGAAAATAAACAAGTGTGATTAACGCTAACGGCTTTAAAATAACGCAACGCGTTAATATTCGTTTGGCGTAACACCAACAAGGAAAACCAAATCATCGCTACTCATCACTTTTGATTAAAATAAACAAGTCACGTGAAACTTTAGTGCGAAATTAACTCATCGTTGGACCGTCCGCGTCTTGGCGGCATCGCCAGCGTCATCAGCGGTGGAGAGCGGCGCGCAGTGAGAGGCGCGCGTTCGCCGCCGTCCCTGGGGAGACGCCCAACCAGGGACCGCCGTCAGGCCGACTGGACGACGGCCTCACGCGGTCGGATGCCGCTTCTTGATTGGCTGTGGTTATGACGGTCACGGCCGCCTACTGCTATTGGCCGATTGGCTGGTGTCGTCGGTCACGCGGTCGAGTGCCGTCGGCTTGATTGGCCGCTGTCCACGGTAGTGAGGCTGGGCTGCCGCGGTCCGATCGGTTTGGTCCTCGGTTGCTGCCGGTTAACCCAGGAATGGCGGGCGCGGGCGTGGATTTGCCCGTGGCCCGCCGTGGCGGCGGCTACTGCGCCTTGGCGGTGGCGCGCTTGTCTCCACCGCACACGCCCGCGTGCCCGTTCCTCAGGGCGCCGTTGGAGCCCACTGCGCAATCCGTGCTGGACTCCTCCTCCGAGGCGTCGCTCTCGTCCACGTCGCTCCGCTCGTCCTTGTCGAGCTGCGACAGCGAGGGGGGGAAATCTCTCCAGTTCACGCCAATGCTCGCACACTCCTCCACTTGCCCATCCATTCACTCGTACGCCCACCCACTCAATCCACTCGGTTTCCTCTCACCTGTCCACTTGCTCACCCGCATGCACTCACCCATTCACTCATCCACTCATGAACTCTATCATCCACTGCTCACGTTCCTCCCTGATCCCCCGCCCGCCAAACCACACGCTCACTCATTCACCCATCCATTCACTCACCCACCAATCCACTCATGCATTCACACTCACCTGCTCTCTCACCTGCCCACTTTTCCACCTGTTCAGTCACCTGCACAGTCACTCACCCACCCACCCATTCAGCCATTATCTCTGTCGCCCATTCATGTCCTCAATAACCCCCCCCCCCGCCCTTCCCCGGCCAACGGCGGGGGGACCTACCTGTCCGACGAAGATGAACCGGTAGAGCATGCGCACAATGAGGTAGGCCCAGAAGATGTGCAGCAGCTGCAGCACCATGAGCATGGCGTTGAAGAAGTAGTAGCCGAAGAACGCGGGGTAGAACTCGAGGGAGGTGACCGCCGTGCAGTGGATGATCCTGCACCAGGGGCGACACCGCAGACATCACCGCCACGAACGACAACACAAACTAAACGGGACTTTTCATTTTACCAGGTAAGGTCCACTGGCCGTGAATGCTAGTGCAACGAGGCAGCTTTTGACGTGGAACTTTATAGCAGCCAAATACTCAAAACACATGACCACGGGGAGAGAGACACGCAAACCCCCAAATATACAGCAGGCGTCAGTGTCGGGATCAAACCCACGACCTGCATACGAGGCGAGGTAGTTAACATCTCGCCACCGCGGTGCCCGTGTAGACAAAGATCCCCCATGTAGCCTTTAATAGACTGTTGATACAAGTGCTGTTAGCGAGCACCTATGACGACTGGCATGGCACACGAGGGGAAGGGGTGGCCAGCACCAAACGCAACTGGGGCACATCGACACAAACGCGTAACAACGCTCGCAGTAACGGCGGCTAAACGGCTCCCAATACGAGGCCTCGGGATGAGCGAGCCATTTTCTGGTGAGCGATGACTAGGGAGGGTCATGGCAAAAGGGGTAGGGGGGGTAGAGTGGAGAAGGAGACAAAGTTGGGGTCTGAAGAGAGGAGCTGAAAATGATTGGCGGGGAATTTAAGTGGCCATGCAGTGGGCAGGAGCAAGGCTGCGTGAGCGAGTGCCAGAGCGTTTCTTGCAGATGTGAGCGAGCATGTGGGTGAATGGTGAGCGTGTGGGTGAATGGTGAGCGTGTGGGTGAATGGTGAGCGTGTGGGTGTGTGAGAGCATTTGCGAGTGCGTAAGTGAGCGCGTGTGAATGAGCGTGCGTGTGACTTGCAATTAAAGGCTGTGTGAGCATGCAAGTAAATAATCATGTCACTTTGGGAGCCCGCGTGTGGACATGCAAGTGCATCGATAAGCTTACGACCACACGAAGCAAGTGAGGCCGTGTGAGAGGGTGTGCGTGAGCGAGCGCAACGGCAGCACCAGAAGGGGAAGATGACGAGGCGCGTGACGAGGAAGACGACGGTGAAGACGACGAAGAGGGAGTCGCACGTGCGCTGCCACCTGGCGTAGTTGAACATCTTGGCCGACTGTGGAACACACGGCAGGGGGGCATCACGCACGGCAGGGGGGGGGGGGGGGCATCACGCACGGCAGGGGGGGGGGCATCACGCACGGCAGGGGGGGGGGCATCACGCACGGCAGGGGGGGGGGGCATCTCGCACGGCAGGGGCATCGCGCGCTCCCTCCATTCCCACCTCCACCTGAAATCATTCATTGCGTTGGCCAAGTCCGCTCACGCACGTGTACACACATACACGCACACACGCGTACGCATACACGCACACGCACACACACGTACATGCACACACGCACACGCACACACACGTACACGCACACACACGTACACGCACACACACGTACACGCACACGCATACACACACATGCATACACACGTACACGCACGCATACACACGTACACGCACGCATACACACGTACACGCACGCATACACACGTACACGCACGCATGCATGGAAGCGTCACCTCTAGGAAGTAGTCGGAGGAGTCGTGCACGGCCATGACGAGGGTGCCCGCCCGGATGTAATTGGCGAAGTACGAGAAGCTGATGAGCACAATGGTGGCGACGTGGTGAATTATCTGCTCCTTAAAATCCTGCACGGACACGCGGGGGGACACGCAAGGGGACACGTGAGGACATGCGGGAGACGCGCAGACGTGCGGATAGAAACAGCATACACAAACTCGCATTGGGTATTCCCTCCCATCATCATCTCTCTTCGAAAGCTCTAATAAGAAGGACCTCGCTCAATCCAATAAATCTCATCGTGCTGTTTGTCGCTTGACATTTTTGTCCAACTTCACGTCGGAAGCTTCCCACGCCGTGACCACGTGCCCTGTCCTCACGTCCCGTGCGCAAGCGTCCCGTGTAACTCGCATCCCCACTCACTTTCCGTCGGACGTCGAACGCGACGCTGAAGAGCAGCGACAAGTAGAAGCCGAGTTCAATGGTGTAGTACCAGTACTGCGAGGGCAGCAGCGCCTGCGATGCACGCACAAAGATGAATGCACGCACAAAGATGAAGAACAGACTGTTGGGGCAAGTGCTGTTGGCGAGCACCTATCAAGGTCCGTACGGCACACGGGGGGCATGGGTGGCCAATGCCACCGACCGCCTTTGTCTCACCACTTATCGGTTGCGAGCAGGAATGGAACACGGGTCGCCAGGTCCGTAGTGCAGTGCACTAACCACTGCACTACCACTCCTCGCCAAAATAAAAAAAAATATCCCCCGCAGTCGAAACAAACTGTTGGGGCAAGTGCTGAAAGTGAACACCTTATGAAGGCCAACACAGCACACCTGGCCGCCTTTGTCTCCCTCGAGCTGTTTTGTGGGCACAGTGTCTGCCCAATTCCTGCGTGGTGTCTCCTGTACTGTGTTGCAACGTGAGCCATCGTATGGCATGGTGTGTTTGGTGTGGTAGACCTGTGTGCGTTACCTGCTTTGGGTATCCGACCCAGCATTCCCGTTGTTCCCAAAACCAAGGTTTCTACAAAAAAAACAAAAAACATCAGAAATTGAGCGTGAGAAAAGCTAAGTAAGAAAGCGCTCACGTTTCAAGTTTGTTTGTTCATCCAGGGCAGAACTCGATAAAGCAGGATGAGAGTGAACCGGGTCGCCAGGATCACTCGGCGTGAACAGTCCAGCGAACCGACTGCGTCGCGAGTGAAGGGAGCTGGGTGCGCGCGTCGTACGTACGTCGACGATGACGGCCATGCCCATGCAGAACGCCACGATGTAAAACACAAACCTCCAGCTGCGAGCGAGACGGGAAGGCAAGGGGCGTACGGGGAAAGGGGAAGACATGGGGGGTACGGGGAGAGGGAGGAGGAGGAGAGAGAGACAGGGGGGACGGCGAGGCGAGGTGTCGCCAGGGAGGAGACGCCCGGAGGACGCAGCAGGAAGTGGAAGAGATGAGCGAGAGGAAGGGGTTGGCGGGAGAACGAATCAATTTCTCTTCCTGGTCGCTCACACGTTATCCACTGCCCAGCGCTCGCTCTCACGTGCGGTCCGACAAACAGAGGCCGCAACGCGACTCATTTGTGCCACCCCGCCGTGCCGCCCTTTGTCAATCTTCAACCGGTTCCTCGGCGCCGTCTCCCAACTGCTCGCTGGTGCCGTTTCGTTTTCACCATTCCGAGTACGGCCACGTGCATTGTCCATCTCGGCCGTGTGAGATTTAGATTTAAAAAGGGGGAAGAGTAAAATTTTGGACCGATCTGAATGAATATTGCCATTTAGACAGAAGCAAATTTCTATCTCGTCATTATAAATCACGAATCGTTGCGCGTGCACGCAACGCACGCGCGTCACGAGCACGAGAACCGCTATCGACCGACGAATCATTACTTCCTCGGCACAACCGACCGGACAGCCATCGCGGGCGACAGAGGGCCCCCTCCCCCCCCCCACCGCCCCCACCCCCCCCCCCGTTTCTCCGCACCTCGCCTCGCAGAACTTCTTCATGATGCCGGCGCGGTCCTGGTTTCGCCGGCGCCGGAACCAGCGCTCCACCTGGCGCTGCGTCCAGTCGGACTGCTTCACCAGCCGCTCCAGCTCGGTCTGCGGCGAGACGCCACAGCCAGGGGACACCGCAGCGGCGGCGGCGGCGGAGGGTGAACGATGGCGGCGAGTTTCTAGCGGACGGCACGACGGCCCCGGCGTGCACGGCTCGCGTCGCGATGAGGAGCAGTAACCCCGGCTCGCCAGGAGATGGCGGTACGGCAAGCGTGGACTCCCATCCGTTCCATCCGCACAGGATGGAGCGGCGTGCGCGCCCCTCACGTGTACATGTGGGTTTTGTCGGGCGCTCCGGTTTTCCTCCCGCACGTAGCAAGCGCTCATTAAATGGCTGGAAACATCTTAATATATAGGAGACCGCCGAGCTTGGGCAATTGTTGGCACCGGCTCTTCACCGCACGGCTGCTTGCTGCCGATCTCGCTCGTCTGTGGGTCCTCCTCGTGCCTCCGAGCCGTCCTCTCTCTCTCTTCCCTCCCTCCCACTTCAATGAGATTTTTATTTATTTACGTAGAATTGCAAATAAGTTATAATTTTGATGTATCTCTCGTAAGTTAGTTAAACTCGTATAATGAAAATGGCATTAATCTCTGGCCGAGCAGACCTAGAGAGGATGGCGGGCCGGGCGGGACGGTACCTGTGTGGGCCGCTTGGTGCGGGAGCGGTAGACTTTCTCCAGCACGGCGTTGGGCGGCACCTCCCTCCGCACCGTCTCCACCACGCCCATGCGTCGCGCCAGCGGCGTGGCTACCCACCTGGTCACACACGGTTACATGCGCACACGGTTACATGCGCGCGAGATTGCATGCACACGGTTACAGGCGCGCGAGATTGCGCGCGAGATTGCATGCGCTCGCGCAGCTGCGCCCGCGTCTGCACCCGCGCGGTTACACATACTGTTACACACACGCAGTTAGACACGCAGTTAGACGTGGTTACACGCACCTATAAGAAAACACACATGGTTACACGCAGGTTCACAAGCATGCAGGGTCTCACACGCACACAGTTACACACACATAGGCGAACATACGATTACACACAAAGACAAAGATCCTCCGCATAGCCTTAACAGACTGAAGGAGCAAATGCTGTAAGTGAGCAGCACCTATGAAGGCCGGCACGGCACACAAGGGGGTGGGTGACCAGCCCGATGTCTTCCCAGCGCTGACGTCTGGATAGATTCTTCATCTCATGGCATTATGGATGAGAATCCGGTAAGGGACCAACATTGAAACGGACTCGCAGGGAACCGATTCAGAATCTCCCCGTATGTGTGTGTGTGCAGTGTGGGTTCAGCTAGCCACTTCCACTTGGAGAGAGAATGCAGAGGACTCTCTCTCACGCGAGGTTTTAGTTTATCCAAAAGACGACAGGAATCTGTGGCACACATGAATGGTTCTTTTGTAGGCTGTGCGGTGCAACAAGCTGGGCAAGCAGGGCCAGCGAGTGAGCCTCCTGCGCTCCGTGGAATAAATTACATTTCCCACCCCGGACCCTTAAACGTTATTGCGGCCTCTGGCTTGAGTTGTGGCAGGGCCGGATGGTGTCTCCCGGGTGTCCTGCAGAGGAATTAACTTCTCACGCCCTGCGCGGAGCTGATCAGCAGTGTTTCCGGGTTCGTGTCGCGGCTGGTGAGTGAGCCAGTCGATGAGCTGCAGGAGTCGCCCGGTGAATTTGTCACGGAAGTAAATAAGTCTCGCATACACTCAGCCACTCAGACTCACAGGGAGATTAATGTGGTGATTTCTGAAATACTTCCGGCGAGTGATCGAAGCAGGCAGCAGCATTACTATTTGGTCCATGTTCTGAGCTATAGACTGACTTACAGAGACCCAAGACTCACATGGGGACCCACAGACTCATGATGGACGTGTGCAGTGACGCTACTATGTGGGCCGTGGTTTGAGCTATAGACTGCCTCAGAGACCCACAGACTCATATGATGGAAGTGGCGTGAAGAGGCGCGACGATATGGGTCGCGGTGTGGGGCTCGCCAAAATTGTCATCGGTGCAGACGGCCGCGTCTGCCGCGCGATGTTGTGATGCGGCACGGACCACCGCGTGCGGTCTAATTGCGACCGGGGAGTTCTGCGTTGAGGTCAGCGATTAAGCACTCGGTTAGGGACGTTTGCACCATCGCACGTTGCTCTGCACCGAGTCTCAAGGTTGAATGCCGGTACCTTGAAAGCCGGTGCTCGATTCCCAAAGCCGGCCACGGAGCTTTAACCCAAACTCTGGGAGGTTCTGAAGGCTCTCTTCACTGCGATGCCAGAGGCGCCGTGATGAAAGGAGAACCGCCTCGTCAGCAGCAGCAGCAGCAGAGCGACAGGACTGGGAGCGTGTCAATGTGCAGCGGCGTTTCTAATCTTCCTCTGCCATTGTGTTCTCAAAAACCCAACATGAAGCAGAAACGGCGCGGATGGTGGGCACGGGTCAGAGCTTCACCCGCCGGCTTGATAACCTCATGTTAAAATCCAAGTTTTAGCTACCTTCGATTAAAATTGGTTTACTCAAGCGTAGTGATCTGGCGGGTCCAACAGTTAAACCGTCAAATTATTCCAACTCCGAGACTTTGCAAACTTCTGCGCAATTAACTTAAGCCGAACGCTCTTTGCGGGATGTATCAGAGCTGCGACCCGAATGTGGATAAAGCAGGGGAGAGAGAGGGGGGGGCCCTTCTCTTCTAACGTGAATTCAGAAATAGTTCTGCAACGTCATCTTCTCTTTAAGGCAGGGTCGTGCCGGTGACGAGGCTGAACGGAAACGCTCTCCGGCAGCGATGGCGCAATCCGAGAACCGAATCTCTGACGAGAAGCGGGGATAGGACAATGGCCGCCACCCCAGGGGCACGCGCCGGCACGTTCTCGTCAGTCAACGCCAAGCGGCCGTCACCGACACAAACACGGCACCGCCCCGGCAAGCGAGCCGGTCTCCATGGTGTCCCCGCACGGAGCGGCGGTGCACACCCCCCCACCTGCCCACCAGCCCCCAGGGTTTGTTTATACAGCGGGACACAACGCGATTAATCCCCAGCTCAAAGGTCCCACGATCAGACTTTGCACAGAGCGGGCGTCACCGCGACAGGGACTCTCTGCCGCTACCGCACGGCGATGGCACGTGTGCTCTGTCGGCCTCTCGACGAGGATGCGCGAGCTCACACACTAGCACAAAGATAGAGAGCCCCTGCATAGCCTCAACAGACTTTTGGGGCAAGGGCTGTTAGCGCATCTATGAAGGTCGGAAAGGCACACGAAGGGGGTGGGAGGCCAGAACCGTGCCCGGCCGCCTTTGTCTCCCCAGTGGAGATGTTTACACACCGCACCAGGTACTCATTTGAGACCGAGCCGACCTAGGGAGAGGCCCAGGACCGGTTCCGATAATCGTCACCGGTGTTGGCCGTGGGCAGGAACCGAACTCGGGTGGCTGGGTTTGTAGCGCAGCGTAGCGCTAACCGCTACACCACCGCTCCCCCACATCTCGCACACATGCACTCACCCACTCACACTCGCCATGACCTGTGACCGCTGCTGCTGCTGCTCCCTCAATAAAATACCCAGCATAGCAAACGTTATCAAATATGCCCCTGTAGAGTACACATGGAGCCAGGAGAGCGGTCACCGTGAACGGGGCTGGGAGGCCACCAGGCAAAGCTGACAATTCCTTTGAATAAATATATTACGTAATATTTACAAGAATATGATCTGTGACACACGCGCTTTTTGCGCTAATTTATTTTGGTCATTTATTGCTCAGATTATTTTTTGTTCCTAAAACAATGTAGTCCCACTTTGTATATTTTTGGTTACGTTTTAGACCAGTGTCCCTATGACTGTAACCTGTAAAGAGAGTACCGGTACACGCCGTTTGTATCGCGAACTATGTAACCACGATCGTAACTAAGATCTGTTCTTTATAGCTTCTGTACACGTCGCAGGACGCCCATTAAATAGAACCCAACAGCTAAAAATCCATCTCCAGTTGGCCGTTTTTGCTTCATCGCTGTACCTTGATTTTACGCAATCACGTTTGTCGTTTTGGTAACCCGGATCAGTCGCTCTCACAAATGACACTGCATCCTGGTCTCACCAGGTCAAACAAACTAATATTGAGCTTGTAATTCAACTCGTTTTCAGTAGGATCCCCATGCTGCACTTGGATGTTTGGCCAATTCCATGCTCAGGGTTGTTTTACGCATGGCAGGAAACCAGAGCAGCTCGAGAACCCCCAACGCACACGGCAAGACGACGCTTAAAAATATCCACGCAGACAGCTTCACGAACCCACTTGGCGTGCTGTCATCTCTCCGCTACCCAGATCCCGTGGACTTGGCAATTTTTCAAATCTCAACCTGTTGCCTCCCACCAAGGATTTCTTTTCACGGCAAGTGTGTGCAAACACGCCTGATAGAGGTCTCTGACTCACGAGGCAGTGAAGCAACTGGTTAGCAAACAGACCCAAGCACAGCCCAGCACCCAGATAAACGCCATTTTCAGGGTGCCCAGGTGAATTGGGTCAGCCAGGCTGGCACAGCGAGTGGCTCTGACCCACATGGTAACAAATCGGATGACCTACCGTGCGACTACTATGTGCTTGACATTAACATCAAAATATAATTATTTGGTGTTGGCATCATTATTATTATAGTACAAGGCTCCCACGAAGGAAGGTGCGATGTTTGGTGGTCCGCAGTCGTTTTTCAGCAGGGGTCGACGTTGTGGTGTGTAATCGTAATTGAGTATGTAGAGAGTTCATTCTAATTTGGACCATGATGACGGCACACAATGGCCTATACTCTTTCAAAAGGCCCATTGCGAAGCGGATTGAGCGTAGCGGCATCTTACGGTTGATACGCCCGCAGTATTAAACAGGGCTGCCTGCCAGGGTCCAACCACGAGCCTCTGCCCCAAGCGGAGCGTGCGCTACCGCTGAGCTGCGGCTCTGACCCGCGGGGCGCGGGCATCCCGCGGTTTCGGCTGACCTCTCGAAGAGCAGTCGCACGCCGATGAAGAGCAGGGCGACGGGGAGCGTGAGCCACAGGTCGGAGGGGCGCGGCTGTACGGTGCCCGGAGAGTCCTCCAGGTCAGCCCACGTCAGGTTTGGTGGCAGCCACAGCCGCTGGTACCAGAACACGTCCAGGAGCAGCTGTGCCATGGCTATGCTGCGGGCACAGGTCACGCGGCGCGGGTAGCGTCAAGTGCCCGTCGGCTCAGAACCCGGTAACACGGGCGCGTGTCTGTGTAGGGCAGAGGGTGCGAGCGTGTGTGCGAGTGGGGAGCAGTGGCGCTACGAACCCGGCCACCAGGGTTCGATTCCTGCTCCCGGTGGACACCAGTGACAATTATCTGAACCGGTCCTGGGCTTCCCCTAGGTCGACTCAGCCTCAAATGAGTACCTGGTGTGGTGTGCAAACATCGCTACTTAGGAAAGGCGGCCAGGCGTGGTGTTGGCCACCCACCCCCTCTCGAATGCCGTTCCAGAACCTCGGAGGTGCTCACGAACAGCACTTGCCCCAACAGTCTGCTACAGGCTATACGGGGGGTAAATGTTGTGAATGTTCTCTCCAACACACCGGTGTGCTGTACTAATAAGGAATTCGCACGTTCTGCTTACGTGACAAACCCTTCTAATTGGCTGTGTCGGGTGGTGGCGGGTTTAACGACACATTTATATTTCCGCAATCTAACCCAAAAAAAACTATCATGGATGATATTGGTCGCGAAAGCCGACGTGTTAAACGATAAGGGGGGTCTTAGTCTTTGTGTGGAGGGAAATGTGAGCACATGTAGGGTGTTCGTAGGTGTGTTTATCAGTGTGTGTGTGTGTGTAGGTGTGTGTGTGTGTAGGTGTAGTGGGGAGCGGTAGTGTAGCGGTTAGCGCGCTGCGCTATGAACCTGGCGACCCGGGTTCGATTCCCGCTCACGGCCAACACCAGTGATGATTATCTGAACCGGTCCCGGGCCTCCCCTAGGTCGACTCAGCCTCAAATGAGTACCTGGTGCGGTGTGTAAACATTGCCACTAGGGAGACAAAGGCGGTCGGGCGTTTATAGGTGCTCGCTAACAGCACTTGCCCCTACAGTCTGTTAAGGCTATACGGGGGATCTTTATCTTTGTAGGTGTGTATGTAGGTGTGTGTGTAGGTGTGTATGTAGGTGTGTGTGTACGTGTGTGTGTACGTGTGTGTCTAGGTACGTGTGTGCACGAGTGTTTACGTGTGCAACAACGTACGTTGTTGTTTATGTGTAGATTGGGGGAGCAGTGGTTAGCGCACAGCGCTACAAACCTGGGAACCACACCAGTGACAATTTCCTGAGCCAGCCTCTGGCCTCCCCTAGGTTGACTCAGCCTCAAATGAGTGCTAGGTGCGGTTTTGTAAACATCAGGACATGGGGTATTGGCCACTCACCGAGTGTGCCATTCTGCCAAGAAATAGGTGCTCGCTAACAGTACTTTCCCTAACAGTCTATAATTGGCTATTCGGTAAATATTTGTGGTTTATTTGAGTGTAGAGTATAGGGCGTGTTTTAGTGGATGTTATTATGAGAGTATGCGTGGGTGTGTAGGTACCTGTGTGTAAGAGTTGCATGTGTATGGGCTTCTACACTGTGCGTGCATGTAGGTGAGTAGGTGCATGCATAATCAGGTAACTGCCATTACTAGTTGCGTGTGTTCACCTAACAATGTGTGTGGGTGGCTGTGTAATGGCATGCGAGTGCGTGTACATCTTAAGCACGTGCATAATCATCATCACCATCATCGTCGTCGTGCCGCGAGACCGTGGCTCAAACGCACTCCTCCGTCCGTGCGTTCGGAGCAGTGGAATGGATCAGGTTTACAAACTACAAAGAGAGTGAATTACGTAGCGTCTCCTAACCGTCCCAAATGCGCCCAAACGTCCACCAACGCGTGCCACGCTCCGGCGGTTTCCACTCATTACCTGCTCCCTGTACACACCTCACCACAGAAGCACCACGCCACCGTACGACCGCTATGGACCAGCAGGATCAGGTCACGCGAGGGTGGCGCGCGAGAGGATCGGACTCCGAGATTTCGATTCCCAATCCCATCAGGCTCACCATCCCACCTGGCTCATCATCCCACCTAGCTCACCATCCCACCTAGCTCACCATATCACTCGGCTCACCCATCCCACCTGGCAGACAATCCAACCTCAATGCCCTGTTCCACAGCTGCAGAGACCCAGCTGGAAGTAACAAGGAGGTTTACCCTCCATTGATGATGATGAGCCCCCCTCCCCCACCCGTGCCTGGCAGGGTCTTGTTTTTAGGATCCCCGCGAGGCTGTGGTACCTGAAGCAACCGTGAACTTGGCGGCCGTTCCGCTGGCGCTCTTTGCTTTTAGCTCAATGGAGATGTTGACTGACAGTGCGGGGATGGAACCAGTGGTGTCTGAAGCCAGACCCCCCTTCCCTCATATCCCGCCACCTCCATCCCTCTCTCAGCATCACCACGTACACTCAGGCCCACACGAAGAAAACTGAGACCAGTGAGGACCAAAAAGGACACACAAACATCAAGAAACGCTAAAACTAACAGTGGATTTAAATAAGACTCAAAGGAAACCTCTTGGCACCCCAACTCACACCAAGTTCATGAAGGGATATTTACAGACCCCTCAAATCCCGAAAGAAAACTATAGCGCCAAAAGAACTCGGACTACTGGAAAGGTCTAGAGACCCAAGATAACTCGGAGCCACCAAAACACCTTTAAAAGACTCCAAAGAACTCCTAGAGACCACAGAGACCCCCATATAAACCCAGAACCCATAGAAAACCCTAAAAGCGTATAGATACTCCATATAGACAACACATACACCGTAAAGACCAAAGGGAGGCCACAAAGTCTCCAACAGACCCCAATAATCCTTTAGTCCTACAGCTGACAAGCAACCAAAAGAAACTTAAGAAACCCTAAAAATCCCAGTTAACCCAATGGAACCTCTCAAATTCCACGAGACCCGCAGAGACCAATGGACACTCTAAGGAACTCATAGATACCCTCGGAGACAATCAGAGATGCCATGGGACCCTCAGGTACCCCACATAAACCCCCAAGGAAACTCTGTGACCCGGCCTCCGCCACCACCAAGTTTCACAGCCACGCACCTTTGCAGCGCCGCTCTCTCCCCGTCCCTTCTCGCCGGAGTAATCAAGGCGAGGTAGGTGGGTGGGTGGAGGGGTTCTCCTAGGGGCCTGAGCACGCGTGCTCGAAAAAGCTCAAGAGGAGCGT